ATATATTAAATTAAATGTGTTTGGTTACAATACCTACTGTGCAAATGGTAACAAAGTGACAAGAAAACGTGCTTATATGTCGGAAGGCATACCGGTACCGCACGGTACTCGACGCGCAAAGGATGTCTCAACTTATCATTTTCATCTAAGCATGCTAAATATATCATCATATTAATTGATTGTATGAGCACTGAATCAACAACAACGCTAAATATATCAAAAGTTCTATTTTGCTACCGGCAGTCTCATTTTATTCTAACAGCCGTTGATTGCGATCAGAGAGGGAGAGAGAGAGCTAACTCGCCATGTCTATTTTCTTTATAATTGACGATCGACATCGCGAGTTCGAGAGAGAGAGAGGGCTAACTCGCCATGTCTTTATTCTTTATAATTGACGATCGACATCGCGAGTTCGAGAGAGAGAGAGGGCTAACTCGCCATGTCTTTATTCTTTATAATTGACGATCGACATCGCGAGTTTGAGAGAGAGAGAGGGCTAACTCGCCATGTCTTTATTCTTTATAATTGACGATCGACATCGCGAGTTCGAGAGAGAGAGGGGGCTAACTCGCCATGTCTTTATTCTTTATAATTGACGATCGACATCGCGAGTTCGAGAGAGAGAGAGAGGGCTAACTCGCCATGTCTTTATTCTTTATATTTAACGATCGACATCGCGAGTTCGAGAGAGAGAGAGGGCTCTGTTTGGTATACCTTGGCCGGGCATATATTTCCTTTCCTCCGCACCGAACACCGCCAGGTAACTGTAGATAGAGAAGATTAATTAGAAACATTGCAATTGTTTGTTGTAGTAATATGAGTTTCACTATAACTCACCACTTCCATTGATATTGGTGCGAAGAACCGTATCGGAGTAACCGTGCCTCTCATACAGCTTGGGGTGTTTTCTTTGACTCAGGTCCCCTTCCACTACGAAGGTCGTCTCGGCAATTTCGCTGGATATGTAACTGGGAACAGAAGCCTCTATGGATGACTCCACCACCCCTGAACATCCGACGGGAAATGTAAAAATTTCCTCTGTCTGTAAAAAAGAGCAACAAGTTAGACATATAGGCTAGGTGCGAAACACTAGGGATCTAAATGAGTAATGAGAGAGCATATATACCATAGGTATTGGGCTAATCTCAGAGCATTCAGAGTCGGAGTAATCAACGAATCGTGGAATATTCGTCGGCGGGGCCAGATATATCGTGGAATCATTCCGCTGTTGTTATCTGCGTTTTATCTTATTGATACGAACGTAAGATAAGGGATATTAGAAAAAGATTTGTACTACGATTGAAAAACAAGAGAGCTATATGGACACGTAGAGCCACATAATTTTGATAACGTCATAGCGAAAAAAAAGCCTTTTAAAGAAAAATTCTATCTTCCGCTGAAAATTTCAAAGCAATTGGTCCAATATTTGAAGAGAAAAGCGAGAATATAAAGAATAATTATAAAGAATAAAGACATGGCGAGTTAGCCCTCTCTCTCGAACTCGCGATGTCGATCGTCAATTATAAAGAATAAAGACATGGCGAGTTAGCCCTCTCTCTCTCTCGAACTCGCGATGTCGATCGTCAATTATAAAGAATAAAGACATGGCGAGTTAGCCCTCTCTCTCTCTCGAACTCGCGATGTCGATCGTCAATTATAAAGAATAAAGACATGGCGAGTTAGCCTTCTCTCTCTCTCGGACTCGCGATGTCGATCGTCAATTATAAAGAATAAAGACATGGCGAGTTAGCCCTCTCTCTCTCTCGAACTCGCGATGTCGATCGTCAATTATAAAGAATAAAGACATGGCGAGTTAGCCCTCTCTCTCTCTCGAACTCGCGATGTCGATCGTCAATTATAAAGAATAAAGACATGGCGAGTTAGCCCTCTCTCTCTCTCGAACTCGCGATGTCGATCGTCAATTATAAAGAATAAAGACATGGCGAGTTAGCCCTCTCTCTCTCTCGGACTCGCGATGTCGATCGTCAATTATAAAGAATAAAGACATGGCGAGTTAGCCCTCTCTCTCTCTCGAACACGCGTTGTCAATCGTCAATTATAAAGAATAAAGACATGGCGAGTTAGCCCTCTCTCTCGAACTCGCGATGTCGATCGTCAATCATAAAGGAAACCATTACATCTTTCAAAGAAGGTAAAACTCCAGGACCTGATGGTATAAGTATAGAGTTTTATAAGAAATGCTGGACTGTCATAAAAAATGATTTTTTTGAAGTATTGGAGGAAATTTATGAAGAAGGACTCATCGCAAAAGACTTCAAAATTGGATATACAACTTTAATCCATAAAAAAGGAGAACTGGATCAGGTTAAAAATTACAGACCAATAGCTTTACTAAACACAGATTATAAAATTTTGACCAAAATATTAACAAATAGATTGAAATGTATTTTACCTAATATGCTAGATACCCACCAAACAGCTATACCAGGGAGGCGTATTTCTGATGCACTCATATTGTTAAGAGACATATGTATACAGGAACAAAACAAAACCGGAGAATCTTCCATAATATCATTGGATTTTAACAAAGCCTTCGATAGTGTAGATTTGGATTACCTCTTTAACGTTCTTCGTAAAATCGGATTCAAAAATAAATTCATGAGTGTAATCCGGACATTATATATAAATTCAGAAACTCGAGTGTTACTAAATGGTTATCTTAGTGAAGCAGTGAAACTCGAAAGAGGAATTTGACAAGGAGATCCGTTAAGTCTTTATATGTTCACATTAGCTATTGAACCACTCTTAATTAGAATAAATACCTGTAATTCTATCAATGGAATATTGATACCACAAAATAAAGAAATAAAACATATCAGCTATGCGGATGATATTACCTTGACAATTCGAAACAAGACATCAATATATTCAGCACTGGATTTGATAAACAAATTTCAACTAGCAACGGGAATGAGGTTAAATATGGAAAAGACGAAACTTTTGAAAGTAGGAACATGGAATAATCCCAGTTTATTTTCTAAGTTGTCTATCGTTCAGACTTTAAATATAATTGGAATAATTTTTTCCAATTCTGACACATCGGATGAAAATTGGCATTTTTGTTTAAATAATGCCAGAACTGTAATAGACGAATTAATGGATATTCCTCTATCTTTGGATGGAAAATGTCTTCTAATTAAACTGAAAATATTACCCTTGTTTTTATATTGTGCGAAAGTGTTTCCTATTCCCCTGCATATCGGTAAACAAATCAATAAAGATGTGGAGTTTTTCATATTCAATGGAAGAAGTGTTTTAAAAATAGAAACTTTGTGCAAATGCAAATCATTGGCTGGATATGATATGATTAACATACCTATTTTTACTATGAGCATGTATGTCATGACAGCATTTGAGTATTATTGTAAAAGAACTAATATTGCTATTGATCAATGCAGACAATCTGTTTTCAATTTTGTTGAATACAACATAGGTCAACAGCTTAGTTTATTTTTCAAATTGCCTACTAATAATAGTGTATCCCATGTTTTTTTCCCTCAGAAATACTATGGAACTATAATCAGCTTTCTGAGACAGTACAACATCACTGAAACTGATTTAATTCAAGGAAAGCATAGACATTTATATAATAAAATTGTAAATAATTCGAAGGGTGGGGATAGAATTGTTTTTTTGAGAGATGGTAATTTAATAGGGGCTTGTTCAAATATACATTCTAAAATTTTGGCCAATAATGTAAGGACTTTCAATTATAAATTAATGTGGGACATTTTATCAATCAAGGTTAAGCCAAGAATAAAACATATTTCTGGGGATGATATTTGTGTGTTATGTAAACAAGATTCTGAATTTGTGTCTCATTTGTTTTGGAATTGTGTTTTTACTCAGAATGTCTATGATTATATCTTTTCTGTGGCATTAAAAATGAGTAACTGTGTGATAAAAAATAATTATAAAACTTGCATTTTATTGGACTTAAATGACCACTGTTATATAAATTTATCCATTATACAACGTAATGCTATTATATTGTTATTTTGTACAGCAAGATATAAAATTTGGTTGGAGCGTAACGCTGTAATATTTCAAAATCATAACCCAAGCATAAATAATGTTATTATGAAAATTAGGAACTCACTTCTAATGAGAAGAAATATAGAAAAAGTGAGAAAGGAATTTTGTTATATAAAAGAACTTGCCATGATTTGTAATAACTTGTGAATAATTATAAAATTATGTTTTTTCATGCTAAATAATTAAAAATAAACTATGTAATTTGTATTACGAAATCAACAAATGAATTATTGGAACTCCCTGGATTATATGGAATATTATATCTGATGGAATTATCTTGATATTACTGGTATATATGTTTGTTCACTTACGGTACACAATATATCTTTATTTATATTGCATTTATTTATTATTTACATATCGAATAATCCACATTGTGGATCCATTTAAAAAAAAAAAAAAAAAAAAAAAAAAAAAAAAAATAGACATGGCGAGTTAGCTCTCTCTCTCTCTGCTCGCAATCAACGGCTGTTAGAATAAAATGAGACTGCCGGTAGCAAAATAGAACTTTTGATATATTTAGCGTTGTTGTTGATTCAGTGCTCATACAATCAATTAATATGATGATATATTTAGCATGCTTAGATGAAAATGATAAGTTGAGACATCCTTTGCGCGTCGAGTACCGTGCGGTACCGGTATGCCTTCCGACATATAAGCACGTTTTCTTGTCACTTTGTTACCATTTGCACAGTAGGTATTGTAACCAAACACATTTAATATATTTATCCTTACTATTGAAGTTGTTAGTATGAACAGCCACCTTTCCATCTCCCATTACAAGAAGAGCCTCCACACAGTTGCAGGCTAACCCTAATAGAAAAATTTGGAAAAAAAAAAGAAAAAAAATTTGCCACAGCATATTTCTCTGAGAGTAAATGCTCAAATATGTAATTTTGTAATTCCTATATCCTAAATAATCAACCGATTTTACTATTTAATTTTTTAGTTGAATTTTGTCTGATAAGTTATATTAATATAGACTATTAACTTTATTGGGATTTTTATTAATTTGAAGATCATTTTGCAATGGCAGACTGCAACAAAAAGCATAATGGTACTATAGCTCTTGATTTCAGTTAGTTTTAAAATTATTAGTTATTTGTATTTTGGGCCGCTGCGATGTCAAGAAGTCTGAAAAACAGATTGCATATTCAAACTATTCTTGTTATTCCTTATTTTGAATCTTTCATCGTTGGAATATTAAGAATAATTTCAATTGAAAAATTACCATTTTGAGCAATTATGAGCAATTTTATCTCAGTATAACTGAAATAAATTCATTTCGAGAACAAAGCAATTCATTATTTATCGTAACTTTTCTGTATTCATAATTAATTGGGATAAGTAGATTGATTATTCAGTTTAATCATTTCTGGTTATCAAGCAGTGGTACCCAATAAATCTTTCATTTTCTGAACATTATCAGTTCAACCCATGGCTGCCAAGAATAAAATAATACACAGTAATATATCTGTGTTTTCTCCCTGGAAACAACAAAATTTTCACCCAGTTGGGAAACTATGTTTTAAAAAGTTTACCCAGTGGTTATCAAATTTAGTAGCTAAGGTATTAGGTTTATTGTCAAGTCTCGTGCCCACCTCAAAAATAAAAGCTACAAATAACAGATAGTAAGGCGAAAGTATGTTTCATTCAAAAAACACTTGAAATATATGTACATAACAATGAAATCAAAACGAGGCAGGCAAGATCAAATCTAACAAATTTTAATTTGCTTCGTGCTCCTTCAATAAATTGTCTGGGGCACGCCACACCGTTTGAGAATTAACCAGTCTATTTTGATACATTTAGATGAAGCGTTCATCACCCTTGCTACAAATGACGTATACACTCGAGGCGCTCTTGTGCTGGCCCAATCATTGAGAAAATATGGAACCACGAGGAAGCTTGTAGTAATGATCACACCACATGTATCACCGAATGCCAGGTAGAATTTATAATTTATTGTAAAATATAGAATTATCGTAAGATGGACCATGGGTCAAAAATTGTGCTCATCTAGACTGTTGGGCCATGTAAGTGTGACGTAAAAAGTTGCATTTTACATTTTTAACCTGCTTTGTTAACATAGTCAAGTCTAACTCTTCATCCTCAAGGTCATCACATGGATATTAATCTGAATTTTTTTTTATCTTAGAACTGCTTTAGAGGATGTCTTTGATGATGTTCGGTTAGTAGATGTCCTGGATTCTAGGGACGCAGCTCATCTTGCCCTACTCAAAAGACCAGAACTAGGGATCACATTCACAAAAATACATTGCTGGACTCTTACAGAGTATTCCAAAGGTGTTTTCATGGATGCTGATATGATGGTAAGGTTATTTCCATGAATTTCATCGATAGCCTTATTTGAGTATTTATTATATCGGCACTCCAGAAGTATGTGTACCAATATGGAAATATCTAATTTTGTTCGCCTACTTCACATCAAGTTTAGTAATGGGACGAAAACCTATGGGCAGGGGGTATATTCACTTGGCTAACACAAACAGTCCCCGAACTCGTAAGGAAAATCGGAACAAAATTATGGTCTAACCCAGGGGTTCCCAAGCTTTTTTCAGGACGACCCCAAAGACAACTTTCAAGTGTCCAGTGCGACCCCAGGTCAATATATATATTTTTCATGAAACTTTTTAGAGCTTCGTTCACTGGATTTTTGAGTTTGATCATGTGGTGGTATTAAGTAAAATAAGCTAAAACCAAACACTGAAGTCACAATGATCACCTACATATTCTATAGCATAAGCATAGAGCGATGCATATGGGCCTGTTTTACAGTAAGCCATGCTAAATTTAACATGGTTTGCCAAATCTTAGATGTTTTCTACGTCCATCCTTTACCATACCTCAGCGACCCCACCGACCCCATGGCGTGTTTGCGACCCTACACACTTATCACTCCGACCCAATTTGGGGTCGCGACCCCTGGTTTGGGAACCCCTGGTCTAACCCAAACCTGGTACACACACTACGGGAGTACCTTCAAAGTTGCTTTGGGGCCAGGTATGTCCCAAAAGGTTGAATCTATTTTGGGTATTTGATTTTAAGATTATTTTCATTCGAAAATTGTAATTTCTAGCAATTGAAGTTGCACAGTATGACCAAGAAGGATGTTATTTAATGTATGAAAACAAATAGGAATAAAAAACTAATTTAATCACTGTTTTCCTGCTTTTCAAAATTCGAATTAATATGTGTATGTGTTTATGGTGAACCTGACCCAGTTTAGGATATGTTGCTTATACAAAAACATAAATCTGGAATGTATTTGGAATAGGTAACTCAGTAACTGTTTGTAGTGTAACCAGGAATTTTGGAAAGCGGGTTCTGAAAGTTAGACCGTAACAGCTGGCCGAAAAGGGTGTTCCAGAGTTTTGGGGTCTAAAAAGCGTTCCAAGCTCAGAGTAATTGCTGTGTGTGTTTCATAAACATGTTTTTTTTTTACATTTTAAGGGGGGGGGGGGGGGCTCCCCAAGCTCATAAGTATTATATATGAGTGAAAAAATATGATGAAGTCAAGGCTCAAAAAAATGTGTGATACAGAAAAATAGCTTTTTGCTTTTTTTACATTTTAAAGGGGGGGGGGGGGGGGGAACGCTACCCAAGCTTGTAAGTACTGTATATGAGTGAAAAAATATGATGAGGTACTTCTTAGTAGGTCTTTATTAATAATCTTGTGAGCTTATTAGAATATAGGTCTGTGAAATATTTTTTTGGCTTAATTTATTGTTATTAAAGTGAAATTTCCTTTCAATGCGCCATGATTTGTATACAGAAAGTAATTGCGTCATGAGTTCTTAAAAGTTTGGGAATCCCAAAGTCAAATTATTTTGTTATGGTTGTCAACTCTTTTAAACTAATTGTGATAGATCATTCTTTAATTGTGTATTTCTCATATGTAAAGCATTTAGCATATGATATCCGTCACAGGGGTTTCGAAAGCCCCGAAAATAGGGGATGAATGAGTGAATGAATTGTCTCTATCAACCAGAGAGGTTCTGAAATCCTAAATAAAACGGATTCCAGGTCATTTGCAACATGAACGTCTGTTTTATGTTATTTTGTCACGGTTGTCAAATCTACTAAACTAATAATGGATAACCTATCTTTAATTGTAAGGGTTTGTCTCTTATGTAAATTGTTCAGCTTTTCTAGAGTGAACATAACTTTCGTGCAAATCGCCATAGATATTTAACATGTTTGGGTGAAATCATACACAAACACAAGTTTGTGGGATAAATTAATTTCATTTTTATAGAGAATTGAGTTTTCACCCTACTGTATTAAGTTATCTTTTCACGGTTGCCAAATCTTTTCAATCAATGATAATACATCTATCTATAATTGTGTATTGAAATGGTTTGTCTCTTATGTAAAGCGTTTAACGTATGATTTAAAAGTTTTGAAATTCACAAAAAAACTGAACCCATGTCCTTCGCAACATGAACGTATATATTATGTTATTTTGTCATGGACGGTTTTGTCTCACGGTTCTCGATCTTTCAAACTAATTATGATATATCTATTTATCATTGCGTATTGCAATGGTTTGTCTCCAATGTGAAGCAATCAGCTTGCGCCAGCAATCCGTAACAGGATATAAATAGAATGGAATTCCTTTGAGGTTAGCTTTTAGTGAGTTGCGATAGCCTTTATAACTCCATCTTTGCTGTTCTATGACGATTTATAGAATAGGAAACGTGAATATCCAAAATGTATTGAATATTTGAATTATATGAATGAATTAATTACACATTTGACGTACAAAATCGGTTATGTCTGGGATTTTCAAAATTGACTATTTTCTGGTCCAGTGCATCCATCAAGTCCATGCATCTGAAACAACTAAGTGGCAAATTAACTGGACTGGTGACCGGACGGGAGGCCGTGGTTTGGCTATCGCCAAAAAACTCAATCAGACCTCGCACAGCATTTTTTTTTCAACAAGAAATTTATCACATTCACTTATGGATCCTGAAAATCAAAAATAATTGCGATATTGTGTCAAACCAGCTGTTAAACAAAGAACACATATTACGCCACACTGCAAAAGTGTTGATTACCGATGGTTAATCGTGTTGCGCAATCTGTGATGTCAGTCCCGTTTCTTTTTAGCCTTACCTCGTAAATATATTTTCCATCTTATATTCTATTATACGGAATTTAAATTTGATAATGTTCAACCATTCCAGCATAGTAAAGTTTATTGGTTGCTTGAACCACAAAGGCAAGACCATCATGAACAGTAAACTTACCTTAAATTTGCTTATACTTCACTAACCTTTATTGTGTGTAACGCTTCAATACCAAATATGGAACGTAAATAATGAAATAACGGTACTCCTGAAGTATTCGCACCAAGATGTCGCATAACCTGAACCCTAACCTGGTACACAACCTGAGTTTGGGTTGTGCGCCATCTTAGTGCGCATACTTCAGGAGGTCCGAATAAAATTTACTAGAAAGTAGAATTAGTAACTTTTAGGTGACCCAGTTTAACCTATAGTTTGGGAAACACTGTTCTGAAATAGTATTCTGGAAACAGAACATCAAATATATTTCTTATTGAATCATGTTCAACAGTGATATATAATGTTAATTCATGTCGATTTCCTCTGTGAAAAGTTCAATACAAATCATGATGAATTCTGGAGGAAGGAAATATGAAAATATTAATTTGTATTTTGGTATAATCTTATTAAATTATTTAGTATCAATGTAATTTTTATGCAAGAATTGTAAATTATTTTAACTGTAAAAAAGAGTGAGTGTTGTGCTCAGCACAGTCGGAGTTGTTACTCGTTTCTCTTTGGATCGGGCGTGTTCTGGGTATCCCAATCGCCTCGACCTATTTACGTACACTTCTTTTAATAATCATATTCGATTTATTTAATACGGTTAGACTTGAATCAATGGTGCCGCTGCTCGATAACCAGAAATGGCGTTTCGCCCCTCCATTCACTCTGAAGTACCATTTTACTTCTTTTTATTCATAAAGTGTACTTTAGTGTGGTGGAAAAATAAAGTACTGATTACTAGCTATTGACATTAGCCTAACTTCGCTAACCCCTCCATATGGTGAGCGAACTTCTCATTTCCTGTAATAGAAAGGTGCATGCTATGTGTAATGCTGCTTTGATAAGTTAACGGATGTACAGCTCTTAAGGAGTAGACATACTATACGGAGTGTGCGTAAACCCTTTATTAAATTAGGTAAAATTATTTTGATCTGCTTTGTGCAACTAATAGTGGACATATAAAGTCGTTTTGAATGAAGTGAAAAACACAATTGAACACTAATTAAAACAAAACCAATCTGGTTAACTATTCCCAGATCTAATTAGGATAGGATTTACATATTTATCCCGGGGGGAGAGGAAAGAAGATAAGACGGCTTATCCATATGGCGAACCACGGCCTCTCGTCCGGTTACCATTCCAATTCGGGTATGGGATTAGTTATATTGTTTGTTTTTTCGGAAGCATGGACTTGGTGGTGGAGGAAGCCGTAACCGACCAGCGGTTACGTGAACCACCCAACGACGGCGAGGAGTCCAGCAATCCTCTCGCACATAACCATCCCTGCATGGGATTCGAACCTGCGAACCCACGCGGAGTAATTAGAGGTGCGGTGGCGAGTGTATTCCTAACGCTTAACCCGTTGAGCCACACCGCCGTGCGGCAGCCTAATTCAAGAGTCTTTCCTGCAGATTACACCAAACGTAAATCTGTAACATTCCATCTGACTAAAATCAGACTTCTTCAAACTGACATGATCCACTAATCAGGGGTGTGTAAACTTTGGTATAAAAAGGTCAGATACAAATAACTTGGTGAAATTGTGAAGCTGCGGGCTGCTTCTCCATTCAACATAGGCTTTCTAGTACCGGTAGTTACAGGCACAAAAATTTTGGGTTTTTGATCTTATGGCATGCGTTGTTCGCTTCGCATAAGCTTGCTGTTAGGGTCATAGGCATAGATAATAAATTGGTCTCAGGTATAGGTTTTACAATGCAAAGGGATTGGAATTACTCACACATACCAAAACCGAACTAAATTAAAAACTCGTATCGCAGGCAAACACCATTCAAAATCAGCATTTTATCGAGGGCACAAATTTTCCGTGCGGGTTACATTTGGCCCGTGGGCTGCAGCTTCTTTATTTTGGAGTGAGTGCACATGAAATTTTCATAATAAAAACATTTCCTAATACAGTTCTATTTGATTGCAGGCTCTTCAAAACATTGACGAACTTTTCGAACGGGAAGAATTATCAGCAGCACCAGATTCAGGATGGCCAGATCTTTTCAATTCTGGTTTATTTGTTTTTCGTCCTTCGCTTGAAACTTTCAATGGACTTTTACTTCTTGCTCAGAATGAAGGAAGCTTTGATGGTAAGAAAGTTTTGAAAATTAATTATTTCTATTCCAGTGGTTGCCAACCTTTTATGGCTTGTGTGGCATGGCCTCCTTCTGATGGCTTTTAGCACTCATGGACTCCTGTTTATCATTCCAGTTGTATTTCTAGTGTTATTATGATTAGTAGATTCCAAATCCCATTATGTTCCAACAATTCATGCTCAACAAATTGAAAACACCCCGTGAAATAATCTTTTCAAACAATGCAACTATGAGTAAAGAGGAGTCTACTTGTGAAAGTAAAAGAAAAATCAATTCTGCGCCTAGTATTGTGGTTCCGCGCCGAACGCCCTGTGTGCCTCTTGGGGGTCCCGGGCACCGTTTGGAAACTGCAGGTCTGTTCTGTCTAATGTGATGTCCGGTACTTCTCTCATCATCACTCACAGGATCTTTGACGCAGCGTACTCAAACTTGCAACTTTTCTATCAGTACTTCTGTTTATTTTTAATTGAGTGCCAAGGACATTGCTCTGACAAAATTGGAGTATTGTCACTATCTGAGCAACAGTTGTAGCCAGGAATGGGAGTTCTCAAAGTACTAATTGCCAAGTTGGACAGTAACAGCCAGGGGGTCTGGCCGGGAAACATTGGATTTCAAGAATCTCAAGGGTCTAAAAAGTGTATCAAAAATCTAAAACGACAACCTGTGTCAATCTTCTTCAGCAGTCGCTTGGATCCCCAAACCGCATCTGCCTCAGAGTCAAATTTGTTCTCACCCAAGGGCCGCCTCTAGTTCTGAATGAATCATGATGGCTGTTCCTGTTGTCTAATTTAAATCCAATTTATTGTTGTGTTGTTTTCACATGATTGTGTAATTTCGAGATAATTTCAGATTGCTTCATTGCTATATTTGCTACTATAATACAGCATTTAGTGAATCAATGTTTCTCGTTCTTCAGTTTACTATGTTTTGCTATATATTGATTCTTGCATGACGAAAAATAAACATCTGAATCTGAACCTCTTGTTAGGTATATATATTTTTTTTAAATATGAGAATTCTTGTCACTAGGTGGGGACCAAGGTCTTCTGAACACATATTTTAAAGATTGGGCAACTAAAGATATTTCACGTCACCTGCCATTCTTGTACAATTTACATGTTTGTGCGTCGTACACCTACATGCCGGCTTTTAAAAAGTAAGTAAGTATGTAAGCCTTTCCCCAACTAAAAAAGACTCAGACAAACATGGTTTGACTAACTTCTGTGGTACCGTCTGGTTCTATGGTATTTCTGTCTAATGTCTCATCTCTCAGACTATTTAAAAAAACATAGAAAAACATAATCTACCGGTATCTGCGGGACAAACTATTAACATTCTGCTATACTTTTGTGGATCGTTATGCTATGGTAAAAGGTAGCAAGAGTGAAGATAACTTTTCTAAGTGATTCAACAATCTTTCTGTACACTGGTATTAATTTATTTCTATAATATTTTGTCTCACCAAGGTCAGACTTTCTCAAAAAACATAATCTAACTTCACGACAAACTACTATTGTCTCCTATACATTTGCGGGCCTGTATTACGAAGTCATACTTCCTCAGACATACATAATACAACTGCCAGCTAGCTTATCCTTCTATGCTTTTACTCTGGTGGGCCTGTATGCATATAGTAATAAAAGGTTACTAAAGCAAAAGTAATGATAATTATCCTAAGTGATTGAAGAGTCCTGCTGCACACTGAGTATAAATATTTTTTGTAATATTTCGTCTGACCGAAGTCATACATCCTCAAACATACATAATCCGTCTGCCTTTTTGTGGGACCACCTTTTGCGTTGGTACATCCATATGCATATAATGCAAGGATACTGTAGCAAGAGTAAAGATAACTATCCTAAGTGAGTCAAGAGTCTTACTGCACACTAACACAAATATATTTATTTTATGTTTCATCTTTTATGTTTCAACTTCTACAGGATTCGAGAGTTCTGTTGCACACTAACACAAATATATTTATTTCTGTAACGTTCATCTCATCAAAGTTAGGACTTTCTACGCCTGGCCAACTATAGTTGAAATGTACTGTTCGGTCATACATAACGTTACAGGAATACATTTATGATAGTGTGCAGCAAGACTCTTGAATAAAATAGAATAGGCTAGTCATCTTAATTTATGCTACAGCATCCTTGCATCATTGTTAGGATTCCTCATATAACAAGCGTTGCTCTCTTATTTTCTACAGGTTTGGCAAAGACACAAAGGTTGTTCATTTCCTTGGACCAGTTAAGCCTTGGCATCATGTCTACAACAGAGTGACCGGTGGAGTTCAACAGATTGCTGGACCCATGCATACCGGTAGGGTCAAGTGTGGAAATTTGAAATGATTTGATGAATGGACTTTTGCGATTCTTTACATTTAAATATTGGGTACTCCCGAAGTATGTGAACCAAGATGGCGGACACCGGAACCTAGTATGTGTACCAGGTTAGGTGTCCGCCATCTTGGTCCATATACTTCGAGAGTACCAAATATTGTATTTTTACATGATAGGATTTTCTTTCCTACCTTTGGTAGAGGAAAGTCAGTAGGAAGGCTTAATCCTATGTGGTGAATCTATGGGACTAGTTATTCATTTCAGATGCATGAACTTGATGGTGTAGGAAGCTGTGACTATTGGTTAAAGTAAAAACTGACCAGTGGTCATAAGAACCACTCTACGATGGTGAGAAGAGTCTAGCGATCCTCTTTCACATAATTATCTCCCACAGGATTCAAACACGCACAGAGTAATGAGAGGCTTAACACCGTGTGTTAACTGCTAAGCCAACTGCTAAGCCATTGCAAAAGATACATGGAACGGCCATCTGACCTTTGGTATTACAAGCAGTTTTGTTTTTTTGTACTTAACGGCTCTCCAGAAGTGTGTGTACCAATATGGAGGTAACTAATTTCGGTCGCCTACTTTACATCAAGTTGTGTGAAGGTACTGAAACCTATGGGCAGGGGATATATTCACTTGGCTAACAAAGACAGTCCCCAAACTTGTAATAGAACTAAGATAAGGAAAATTGGAATAAAATCATGACCTAACCTGGTACACGCACTACTGGATTACCAATGATAGAACCTTGAAATAGAAATAATTCAAAACAGTAGATTACGGTCCCATGACCCCTGCATGCTGTACCCCTGATAACCCCTACTACCTGTTTCAGGTACCCAACACCTACCACAATACTTGAGTGAATGGTGGGCGATATACAATGACAGTGTTCAGAAATATTTTTCAAGAGAACAGGAAATGGTAAGTCACCTAACTTAATTCATGGTTGTATGATAGTTTACATTTCCTGGGTATATCAAAACTGATAAGAATCGCTGTTAGTACTGATAAGACATCCAGTTTATCTAGAACTTAGGGAGCCATCTCCTAATTTAAGCCATGATAGTATGAGTGTTTGAAATCTTCAACAGTGTTTATGGAGAAAACTTATCAAAGCTGATAAGAACAGCTGATAAGATAACCTGTTTATCTAGAATAGCTACTGGTAACTCACCTTCTAATTTAAGTCATGGTAGTTTGACAGTTTGAATTTTTTAAAGCTTATCAAAATTGATAAGAATAGCTGATAGTATTGATAAGATAACCAGTTAATCTAGAACTGGAAATGATGGGGCGTTTTCTTCTAATCTAAGTCGTAGTAGTTTGAGAGTTTGAAATGTTCAACGCTTATTATGGGGAACACTTATCGAAATTAATAATAGCCTTCAATATATTTATCTTTTAATTGATATCATGGTGATGTTAGAATTCTTGATTGCTTTTTTGTATGTCCTGAGAAAAGTTGATAAGACATTAAATCCTATACTTTAACATTGATTAGTTAACATTGGTTTTGTATGTCCTGTTGCCAATCAAGAAATGACTGACCGGTTAATAGTTTCAAATGACAAGACGATTTTTTTTTTTATCTTTGAGACTAGTTGGCATTGGCATCACATCTACCTGTAGTAGTTTTTGTGGCAAGTCGGTTCCGAGAACTTTTTTGGATTAGAGTCTGTCTCAGAAAATTTTTGTTAAAATTTATTGAGCAAACATTATTTAGTTGATTTCCCAGTTTGAGTAAGGGAATAGTAAACCAGTCACAATGGCATGGACTTGATAATGAAGAAAACTAGACCAACAAGTTACGTCAAATTATCCTGCAGTATCAGAAAAACATTTTCACTATTTTCACCAAAGGTTGTGTACACAAAATTAGATCTCTTTTCAAATTCGAAAATACAACTTAAAACTGACAAATAGCACTCAGAGCCACAAAAACTAGCTAATGTTTACTACCATGTCTATAAATATGTGAAAAATGTATCCAAGAAGCCATTAAAATATAGTTCTTACACCATTATTGACATCTTGCTGAATATCCAATTCTAGAGAAGCAAACAAGTGAGTCGATGCCCTGAAAACCTTATACCATGGCCTGCCAGTTGAGTAGCCCTGCCCTAGAAGACGAAATTAATTTACCTGCCAGACAATACATTCCATTGACATCAACTCCATGCATGTATCAACGCCTGTGTCTAGAGTTGTCAAATGTATGATCTTCTCTGATTCATTTTCATTACCAAATTTTTATATAGTCAGTCATTTGAGTAATATTATTATATTATTATTATACAACTTAGTAATCTATATCAAGGTAACTAAGAAGCCAACTCACCATTTATTTGACATCAATCGGCGTTCTTCATTTATAATCCGATGTTTCCAGGCTTTTCAGAATCTTGTCAAAAATCCCACACACCATGATAAACAATCCTCTGGAGCGCCGCCTAACCGGCCGATCGGTGCACGAAAGCTGTGCTGTTGAGTAATATTATTTTCCAAACGGTTGCATCAGTAACATTAAGACACTTCGAGATAGTTGTTGTCTTTTTCTCGGATGCCTCATGTAGATATCTGGTACAACATGTGTTTGGACTAGACTCCTAGAGGGAAAGAGCATGCTAGGATCTATTATTTTATGCAAACGACAGGTTTAGTTTTTTAAATGAATTTGCTCTAAGCATGGGGTTCGAGCCCTCAGCTAAAAGTTGCGAGTTCACTTAGTATAGGGTCCATATAAAGAAAGTCTTGACATGTTTCCATATAAAGAAAGTCTTGACATGTTTCAAAATTTCAAAGGTTATTTATCGGGGCTCCCGAAGTATGCGAACCAAGATGGCGGACATTGGAATGTAATATGTGTACTAGGTTAGGGTTAGGCCATAATTTTAGGTATAAATACTACGGGAGGCTCTTGGCTAGTCTTCGAACTGATAATTGGACTTAAATAAGGAAAATTGGAAAAAAATTATCGCCTAACCCTAACCTGTTACCCATGTTACGTTCCGATGTCCGCCATCTTGGTTCGCATACTTCGGGACCAATTTATCGATTCCATATATATCGTTTTGGACCTCACATATGTATTAAATGAGGTAAAAATACTTAAGAATTACTGATTGAAAAGCAACAAACAACAAGATTTATTGAGAACTGACTTCATAACAAAATTGAAATTGTAGAGGTACTTTATGGACACCCTGTATTGTTACAAGTTTGCTCAAAGCAAGCATAATGCACCCGTAACTCTTTTCAGAGAGTCTCCTTTACTTGTGAGTGAGTGTGCGACCTTTTTTTTAGTGAATTACCTTAAAAATGAAAATTCACTGGAGGACCATAATAATTTCCTTTTACTCATATCAAATCAGTATACAGACCATCTAGGAAACACAGAAATAAGGCCAAATCTGGCAACAGTCAATCAAGAATCCAAAACTCCGGTTTGTATGTAGTATATGCATGATGGGCTGCTGTAGAATAATTAATTTTTTGCATTTTCTTCGCAATTAGTTAGTTATTAATTGTTTTTGACTATTTTTATGTAGTGAATTAAATCTTATGGCTTTGAATCTGAATTTCTTTTTTTTATTTTCTCTTTTCGACCTCTGATTTGAATGAGGCGTCTGACATTTTTGCATCGAACAAGTCTCTGTACCTGCCTCCACTACCATATTTTTGAAATCAATTTTTTTTCAAATCTTCAGCGTTTGCTTTTTATAACACTATGTATGAAGTGGTGGGTGTGTGGTTGACACATGAACTGAAACTTGGGGTTTTAATGCTGTTATTAATACCAAAGAGTATATATCCCAAATAGTTGCTGAGAAAGCCTCGAAGCCGGGAGCGTAACCAGGGGGATTGAGGGTCGGTTTTCCAATGTGAAAAAAAGCATTGGCTATTTCTGTATCATTAATAGCAGTTTTCGTAGCTTGAAACGTTTTTAGACGCCCAGGACGCTTGAAAACCCACGTTCCGCTAGCAGTTACGGTATAACTTGGCTATTACAAATGTCAAAATCCCCCTCCCTTCATTGAAAACTCCCGCCTATGCCCCTGACTCAGACAGTGACAAGCTCGTGAATCTAGGTATTTAGTATTTTGCCCACATACCGTAATAAAAACTGGTTGAAGTGGGATATGAACCCATGAACTGAAAGTTTTTGTAGCCGAATTATAGTCTATTTCAGCGGTTCCCAAACTTCTGTTAATTTTTGTTGGCGCACCTGCTAACACGCTGCAGCGCACTTTTTGGGAAACGCTGGCCTATTTGATGATGACGTCTTTGGGTTGGGCTAAATATAGTTTGGTTAGAAAATAGTTTGACTAATCTTTGAAAGACTGATTCATAGTGAAATTGAGTGTTTGGCTATGAAATATCCGAAAACAACACTGATTTGTTTAAAATTCATTTATATTAGGAATTAGAATAGTTGTATTTTGAATCTTTTTTTATTGTTCTTTTGTATTTTTGTGTGGAATTTCCCCTCCCTAGCCTGACTGACAGAGCTCCAAAAATTGTGTTTGAAATTATTTTTTATATATTTATGCGTTATAAATTTTCTCTGGATATTTATGACTGAAATTCAATTTCTAAATATAATTTTTGGACCTTTGGTCAGTCTTTAGGTATGTGGGGGGAAAAATTTACATATCTCTTACTGTATATTTTAAATTGCATTTTTTTTTTATGTTTTTTAATGTTTTGTTGTGGAAAACGGCCTCGTAGCTGTCAGTCAGGTTAGGGGGAGGTTTATGGATTCCCTGACGAAAACAAACCAAGAAATTTTGTTTAGACGGACCACGTCTGCCACGAACCTCTGGAGGAGACGGTGGACCAAAATTTTCAAGGAAATGGGGAGGAAAATGTGCAAACTCACCATGAAGAGTGTCATCAACAACAAGAACCCCAATGTGGGGTTTCGCAACACACACCTGAGCATCAGCCCCCGCCTCCACCACGCCCTCCGTCACCCCCACCTAACCCTTATCATTGGGACCCACCTGCGACATTTTATAGAGAACAACCTAGTTATATGCTAGCCCCAAGGCCCCCAACACCAGAACCTGAACCCCAGCATACACACATTCATGAGCAGCATCGCCCCCCTAGTCCCCCTGTTGAAAAAACTCCCCAGCGCCACCCAGAACCAGAAAATACACATTTTGAAACTCCTCCCCATGAATCTCATGACGTCCCCTTAGAACACCGATTAACCCCACCCCTTCAAATTCCCTTATTTACACCACCGGAGGGAACATTAGATAATCCACCAGAGGGGGCCGAATCACCGACACAGTTCGAACTTCCCCCCCAAAACACTCGCTACACAACGTTCTCTGAGGAAACTCATTCAACTGTTTCCGAATTATCTTCTCCATCTTCGTTAGACGAAAAGGTAGCTACCACAAATAGGAGGTTAAAATCAAAATCTAAATACAAAGCTGTTTCAAACAGGCCTCAACATGATTTTTACATGTACTCCATGCCGATTGCGATACCTTACACCCACTTGACAAAGTCGTTATCTAAGAGATTGGAGGCGCACAAAGTCCGGGGTAGTTTCAATCAACCCCCTATGGTTAAAGAAAGAATGGTTAGTTCACTTGGGGGACATTTCCTTTGGTGTCTGTCTAACTGATCTTGCTCTGCTGGTGTAGATCTGGTGAGAAAATAATAACTTACCCAAATTAGCTTGACTTGTCAAGGAACCGGTATAAATCAATATACCGTATTTGCTCGTTTTGTAGCCCAGGCCCATATTTTTTATTTATTTACCAAACTCACTCACCCTGCCCCTAGTTCGAACTGGCCCGTATTCAAGCACGGGCGCTTGTGTTATTTTTAAAGTAAAATTATACACAAAATATATTGTCTTTTCCAGTTTTCAAGTATGATTTAAACGAATATTACGAAAATTTTGACTTTTGGTCACCCAAGGCGTGAGTGTTATCTACCGGCGCTTAAAATCCAACAGCGTTGTGACAAAAGCGCTTCTTATTTCCTATTGTTCTCTACCACTGAAAAATCAGTTTTTACATTGGGCGGGTATTCGAGCACCGGCCCTTATTTATTTTTATGTTCTGTTCACACAGGCGGCTATTCAAACGGGCCCTTAATCAAGATCAGGCGGTAAAACGTGCATATACGGTAGATCCAGTAGCCAAATTGACACTTAGAATTGCTAACAAATTTTAGTAGTTCTTTGGCATATTATTGGTGGCAACTTTGTTCAGAGATGAGTCTCCACTGCTTCTCTCCCGATAAATAAGTCAGTCCGTATAGTTCAGGTGGCTTTTTTTCAATATTTCAGTGCTGACGAGCAAAATTTCTTGGAGATGAGTAACCTTACTTCCCTTCGTGCGTTTGGATTATCTTCCTTTAAGCAAATTCTCTTTAAATAAATATAAAAATCAATTTGGTTTTAAAAAAAGGTTTATTTCTAAAGGTTTGGATATCCCACCAAAAATGTCATTCTGTCTTTTTTACCTTGAAATAAAATTTCCTGGGAAGGGAAAGCATATTTTAAATATATTGCAAGAGCATCCTATTAAACCAGCTACAGGTGTAACTGTTATTGCAAATCAATGTTAGAATGCCGTTCTTGTTTATAATGCTTAGCACAATGAGTTGCTGAAATAATAATTTGGCTTGAACATATTGCCAACCACGGCCTTCCAAGACTGCAAACCAGTTAAGGGTATTCAGTGGGGATCGAAAAATGATAGAATAAATATGTCAATCGGTATTGGAAAACGTAACTCCCATATCCCTTATTCCAGTGGTTCTCAACCTTTTATACCCCCCCCCCATCCTCCCCTCTGGAGGCTTTTTGCACTCATGCCCTATGTTTATCATTCCAGTGGTATTCATTATTCTGATTGGTAGATTTCAAATTCCATTACCGGTATGTTTAAACAATTCATACTCAATAAAGTGGAAACACCTTTACCAAGCAATAAAGCTAGGAAAAGCTGAGAGTTGAAAGGGAAAAGTAAAACCAGTTTTGCGCCTAACATTGTGCCCCCCCCCTCTAACAGATCTGTGGCCCTTTGGTGGGCCACGGGCCCTTGGTTGGAAACCACTGCCTTTTACTTTATGTAAGAAAACAAATTCATCTTATCAGGAAGATCAACCTAGTCAGATTCCATCAATAATTCTGAGTATCATTTCCGAGTCGTCCAATTTTGATAACAATACCGTGGCAACTCGTCTCAAAACACCACCAAGTGTCTATTATCCCAGCGTCATGGTCTGTATTGAACGTGATTGTTCATTGTTGCTTTGTGTTTTGTCAACTAACGTTTAATTATATTAACCTAGAGGTGCACAACTCAAATGGTATGCAGGGAGAGATTCATTTCAATATAATTGCTGATTTAAGTCCTGAATTCCGATATTTAAATGCGGCGTTTCTCAAACTGTGTTCTGCGAGCATTTTCGGAGTGTTCCGTGGAACAGGGATCGAAATTGCAACTTAATGGGTCGCCATGGCGATCCCGGTCGTACTTCGGTGACTCTAGGTTGTAAATTGGTCTCCAAAATGGCAACAGGTAGGCCTTGCTATCTAAACAGGCGGACAGACAGCCAGTGTATTACGCAATTTTTTTTATCAATAAATTTACCTTATAATTTCTTGGTGTTTCGCAAGATAAAAAGCACACGTAGGTGTTCCGGGACCGAGAAAGTTAGAGAAGCGCTGTTTTAACGTATTGTTTTCAGGGACCAAAGAATTCAATAATGAATAAAGTATTCACACACGCTCAATCGGTTCAATATAATGAATCTTGATTATAGGAATATTCAGCGTAGTTTCAGCGAATTTTGAAGATTTTATCCAAAAACTGTCAGATGTTACATAAAAATCAGTTGTTTTCTTTTTTTAAAATAGAATGTGCGTTTATCAAAAAAAAAAAAGTGTGGGATTTCGTTTTAGGCTGGATTCTTTTTGCATCTCTATATTTTGTCCTGCAGGCCTCATGTTGTGCACCCCTTGCTCAGTAAACGTTATGTTGTTGTCATTTTGTGATCACCCTTAGTAATTCCATTGCCACGGCAGTTTTATTTCTTAACAAAACTATTTTTTTACCTAAAAATAAATTATTAAAAATTATTTTAACTAAAAATTGATTATACTAATCAGAACACATCATCGTGATCTGAGATACGATATCACATATTTTTATTCAAAGATAAGGAAAAATGATAAGATTTTTTTATTCATTTAATTAAAAAAAAAATTTTTGTTACTGATCTAACCTGGAATATCTAAACAGTTAATTATATAATAAGTTTATTTTGACTCCATAATCAGCAATGGACGATAAAATAATTGATAATAATAAAGTAAATAAAACTGATTATAAAATCCGGAAAGCAAACGAAACCTCAAATAAGGTTTAAAGCGCACATATTTCAGGTGGGAAGGTATTGATAAAAGAAGTAGTACGTGTTCGCCCACCGAAAACTCATTTCTTTTCGAAAAAAAAAAAATGCAGTAAATTCCTGACAAGGGTTTCAAGACCTATTCTTATCATCTCACCAGTGCATAAGCTAAAGGATTCCTGCTTCAGGCAGGCTGTCTTGAGTACTTTGCTAAACTTACTTTCAAAATGAAAATACCCTGTGAAATAACCTTGTCAATCAATGAAACTTGGAAGTACGAGAGTTTTCCGTAAAGAGGAAAAAAAAGAAAATTATCTTTGCGCCTAGTATTGTGGCCCCCGTTGGTAACCGCTAGCCTAGGGGTTAAAGCGTTGGACCTAACTGCGTTGGCATTGTAGGTTCTAGGTTACACTACTCGGGTTCAAATCCCGTGCTCAACACTTCACCCAGAGTGTATTAATTGAAAATTTGGATCTTTCAAAAATAATAAAATAATATATCGTTTGATATCAGTGACTGCTTGTACAGGACCTTGTTCAGAGCAAAAACGTGAATAATTGTTGAATAAAAAAGTCACAAATGTTACTGACATTTGCAGATAGATTGGTGCTCTGGTAGTATGTGTGCGCCCCCTTGGTGCACATACTACGGGAGCACCTTTTATTACGTTTTACTAACGCTTGCTTCTACTAATTTTCAATTCAGCTTTTTGTAGCTTTTTTTGGTTCAGCAATAGTCAATTAGCGAAGTGGTTCCCAAACTAATTTGCATAAGAAAAAGTAAATATACTGATAGTTTGAAAAGTCTGGGAAACACTAAATTATTGGACTGTGTGTGAACAAACTAACTCTAAGTCTATTATTGTAATTTTTTGCCTATTTATTTCTCTTCATTTTGCCTTTTTGTAAACTTTTTTTCTCCAATTTTAATTGTAATATTTTTTGCTTAGCTCTGCATACTATTTGCATGTATCATATTTATCTTATCATTGCTAGCTATGCATGTGCCTAATCAAGCATGAACTGACAGCATCTGCTTCTTTGTTACGCATGACTGCTGCTTTTTGCTGTAAAATCAATTATTTGTTTGTTTAGTGGAATTAGCAGTAGAATAGTAATTTGCTAATGTAATGAGCCAAGCCTTAATATAAGCAATAATATGAAATTTCATCCAAATTAAACTTTTGGATAACTTGTGAAATTCAATAAACTTTCCATTAAATTTGTACAGGGGTTGTATTCAGAAATTGATCAGATTGGCCCTCGAAATTTGAACTCTTAATTTGGAGCTCCCGAAGTATGCGAACCAACATAGCGGACATCGGAATGTAATATGTGTACTAGGTTAGGGTTAGGCCATAATTTTAAGTATAAATACTACGGGAGGCTCTTGGCTAGTCTTCGAACTGATAATAGGACTAAAATAAGGAAAATTGGAAAAAAATTATCGCCTAACCCTAACCTGTTACCCATGTTACGTTCCGATGTCCGCCATCTTGGTTCGCATACTTCGGGAGCACCCTTAATTTTTCAATTCAATTTGAAAGATCCAAAAGTGAACTTCATAAAAAATGTGAATTGTGTCCATATCTGATTACTTCGTAATTTGTATTCAGCTATAATTTGAGGGCTTTAACCCGAAAGGGCAAAACTAGAAAAAACTGTTTTGAGAAAATGAGGATTGAACACTCTTAGACATTTATGGATATTCTTCCGTGAATAATGCTTAAAATTTTGGTCAGAAAATCGGTTCACAAAGCAGTTATTTCTTTTCCATATTTCCGAATATTCTTTTCTAAAATTTGCAAATTCGGCATTTTGTCACGAAACCCTCATAATTTAAATATAATGCTCTTTTCTTGTAAAACCAGTCGTTACTTTTTTCTAGTATGACATTTTCATATTTCAACACATTTCATGTTTTTCTTCATTGCATGTTTCCATGGTTACCACCAATAGATGGCAGAAGATAAATCTTTTGAAGATATTGTTCTAATCCCAGCCGCCATACTTCAGTCTGACAAAGAACAGGTAATGTTTTAAAACTGGTAAACTCAAGAAGAGGTTTCTCAAACTCTCTCGTTCACCCGTTGGCAGATTTGGAAAGTATGATTTACCCACTCACTGGTGTAGACTAGAGATGTACCGATACCACTTTTGTCGCCGATACCGATCCGATACCAGCTAAAAACGCCGATACCGATACGCCGATATTCCGATACCGATACTATGTAGTTATTACTTAATTAGGTATGCTGTGTAGGGCAGACGGGTTAAAACAATGGTCTTTAAGCGTTGTTCATAGTACACATTATTTCAGATCGAAAAAAAAGATATATATATCACATAATATGAAATTAATGTTTGGTATCCATATGCTGTAACTGATTAAGATACATTGTACAGTAACGCTAGTAATCTCGGTGTTCAATTAGAAAACTCATAAGCCGGGATGTCCAATTTGAATTTAATGTTAATATCGCGAGCTCCGAATATCGTTATTCGTGTTTAAAAGAATATCGAATATCACCCACACATTCTAGCGCCGCCGTCCTACGTTCAAATTAAAAGCATTTTATTTAATTTAGTGGCTAATCGTAATCGTCGACGCAATAAGTCAAAGCCAACATGAAAGAATATCAATCAGCACCGACAAAAAGAAGGCCCACCGATAACCGTTGAGGATGTTTTTTTACTTCACTATTTTATAACATTTTACAATCGCTATCATATATTTTGAGACAGTCTAGGGCTAGGCGGTCAAGTCAATATATCTATAAAGAAATCGTGTAGTTGAGCAGAATTAAAATTAATACTGGTGTAGTCGGATAATTGTGTCGTAATTTAGTTTATCGATGTCGACAGACTAAATGACACTTGTACTTGACGACAAGCAGTCGAAATTTATACCCGTGCCAAAAGTCCATGTGCCGTTAATAGGGACCCCAATTCCACTGTATGATTTAAAACTGGGCGCCTAGTTGCTTTTTGTTATGTGCTGTGTTGATATATTTCTTCATAAAAACTATGTAATATTAAAAATGTCAATATAAAAATTTGACATCGAAAATAGCCAAATTAGGTGAGCTAGTTTAGCTGATTAATAGCTAAAAACATGTGAATCCTATTCTCTCGCAGGGGTGGGGACATGTATGGCTCATAGCTCACGATCTCTTCAGACAAAAATAAATTAAAAAGTAGTATTCCAACTTATCTTTTAAAACATTCTGGACCATATCAAAAAGGTAAATATATCGGTAATATCGGCCTTAATCTAACCGATACCGATACATGGCCGATACCGAAAAAAATGGCCGATATCGCCGATACCCGATACATCGGTACATCTCTAGTGTAGACCAGGGCTGTGATTCAGAGAAAATTTGCAATCGTCCTTGATTCTGATTTGAAAAGAAAATTGACTCCGACTCTGGAGTGTGATTAAATTTGATGATGAAAACCCCCATTTTATATTTCACCCCTTGCCAGATTTAAAAAAAAATTGCCCCCTTAACTGTGTAGACCAGGACTGGGGACAGAGAAAATTTACAACATACTCTTGGTGTTAAAAAAACTTTAATTACAGCTCTGAACAACAAAAAAATTGAATTTTGAGAGTCAAAATATTGGGGTATGCAACCCTTTTATAATAGCATATTAGGGACACTTAGCAATCTTGATGCTTTTCGAGTTTCCGTTGAATAATTTGGCTTTTTTTATCATCATTCTTCGACCCAGACTCGAATATGACTCAATTTCAGCAGGGGCGAAGCCAGAAATTTTTTTTCAACAAAAGGGGGGGAAGGCCGGAGGGGGTATCTGACCCACAAACCCCTTCCTTCTAGCCATGCCTCTGGAAAACAATCCAAATTCTGAATCCACAGCCAGCCTCTTTGAATAAATGGCGCAATATTAAAAATACCTCTGAGAAAAAAGTTTTTCTATGGAAGCAATAATTCTTATATGAGAATGGTCATTAACTTCTGTGACCAGTCAAGAACGGGTGTAATCAGCGTGGTGTGCTCCTAGACGTCAAACGTGTTTCTATAAGACAGTGTATACTCAACAGCTTTCAAAGTAGTAACCGACCATGCTTAACTTTGTAAACAATGTTCAATCAGAAGAAATTCACTAAAATATCTAATCTTTTTAATATTACAGGAAGGAGCTGCCTCTGCTTCTAGGAGTCCAGACGAAAGACAGCGCGAAATGTTGGCGCACATGAGGCAATGGGAGAGCGGGAATATCGATTATTTAGGCCGTGACAGCTTCGAAAATATACAAGCACGATTGGAGTCCTTCATGCATCAGAAACCAGTCTAACAGACTACCCTTGTGATCAAAGTTTGCCAAATAATTTCACAATTTTTTCTTCTCCTAATGAAATATTACAAAAAAGGTCTTGCAACCACTTGTACGATGTACCAAGTACACCTGGACAAAATTATTTTTTATGTTTGATGGCCCAAGTCATTGATATATTTGCTGTTTTTGTTCTAACACTAGCAGTGCATGTTATTCTATCAAGTAAGCAGAGGAAAAGCCACTATGGCCATAATGGGATGCATTCATTTCCAAGAACCATTCTCATAGCAGTCGATAGTAGTGCCATTTTTTGTTTTGTTATTCAATACTGTTTAACTTTAGGTGGGGATAAGTTATTAAATGGGGCAAAATGTACTTCAATCGCTTATCATCCCATTTATATTACACCTAATTCACCAACTCAAAAAACAAGATGTGATTCCCTTGCTCTTCTGGGTGATTAGTATTCAGTAGAGGTGCTTTTCCCACATTGTAAAAAATTGGTGCATTTTTACAGACATTTTATTATAATTCTGGCTCATGTAATGTGTTTACTTATTTTCATCATTAAAAAGTCTATCAGATCCATTTATTTCTGTTTAGATAAATATCGTCACACCATGAAACTATCCCAAGATAGACAGACTCAAAAAAAAAATCAGAAAACTAGCGATGATACAATAACAAAAATAGTACCCAAGAAGTTATTACTGTATACCGCCCATGTCCAATTTGGGAAATATCTAATTCACCGACTCTGAGTTAAATGGTCATTTCACTGTTGTTTTAGATTTTGGCGAAATGCGATTCTGGTGCACTTTTGGGTAATTAGTATTTAGTATTCGAGGTGCTTTTCCACACTGTAAAAATTGGTGCAATTTTGCAGACATTTGGCCTGGAATTTTGGTTCAATAAATGTGTTAACTTAATATTCAGCAATAAAAATTAGTTAAATTTTACAACATAATATCCGTTCTTGTTCATGAGTGCCTGTTTCATTCTACACTAATTAGCCATATCCCAAAAACAGTTTTTGTAATCATTTTTATCAGTTTTTTAGTGTATCAGACTAGTGTTCCTTCTTTCTGTATTCTCAAACATTAGTCCCCTATTATTAGTGTTGCCAGTTATTTTCTTACTTAATCTGTCAGCCTTTCTGCCCATTCTACATTACTTCTCTACTAGTTTCTCTGGCTGGTGATTACGGTAAAAACCCCAAGTACAGAATTTAAACCCTGTTTTATTAGTTCTTTAGTGCAGGGCTACCCACTATTTTTACCGAACATCCGCATACAAAACTTCAAAAATATTTGGGTCTGGACTTATCCAGAAATTTCGGCATCCTTCAGACACGCAATTCCTCGGCCGACTAATGATTATTAGCTAATCGAGATTGTTTGTTATGGCGTTATAGTTCTTTTCATATATATTTTTAAATCCATAAAAATGATTTTATAAAAAGAAACTTCAAAAGCGGGGCTAATGATCCAAAATAAAGAATTATGCGCGGTTCGAATCGAATACCCAAAGGTCCGGATTCGAACCGCGGTCCGCAAGTTGAGTAGTCCTGCTTCAGTGTATCAACCCGTTTGTTTCTTAATTCTTTCAGGACATTAGTCCCCTATTATTAGTGTCAACCCCTACTTAGTTCATTCGTCAGCTTTTCTACCCGCCCCACATTAGTTCCCTACTAGTCTCTCTGACAAGTTCTTCTGGTGGTAATTCGCCAAACATTAGTCTGGGCTCCGTGAAAGTAACCCAGGGGCTCCGCGAGCTATTCATTCACTCATTAAAACACTTACAAGTTAATTTTGTAACTGTTCGAAAAAGGAATAACGGCACCAATAAAACGGTCTAAATGGTAATTCAAATATAACATCATATATAAGTTCCAATATACAGTAATTTTATAAATTTATTGTTAGTATATGTCAATAATAGTCAACCTCTTCAAGGGCTCCATAACACAAAAGTTTGCACACCTCTGCTTCGCTATATGTGTTTATTCAATCTTTTTTTGAAGCCAGATGTTTGTCCCTATTATTATTAATGTTAACAATTCTCCTGCCAAATTTCTAAGCTGCTGAACTTCTTTGTTTCATTTCTCTTTCCGTCCCCCTCTGTCAAATTTTTTAGAACGATTTTGAAATTCATTTTCCTGATTTTTTTTGCATGAGCCATTTGTCGGACGGTACTTCGACAGCGTGGTCCATCAATTAATTGCCTGTGTTATAGCCACGCATATGTAACTTCCACTCAGTGTTGCCCAGCAATAAAGCTTCTTCACTTATGGGTAAATGCGCTTGCCCATGCTTTAAAAAAATCCTTAAAAAATCACAATCCTTTGTTATATAGCATTATAGCTACACATAAGCAGACTTTGCTCAGCTAAGAGCTTGCTTTACTTGTGTGGTTAAATGTGTTCTGTCGTGCTTTGGGAAAATTTGCTCTTAAAAAATATACTCCTACTTGACAAATTAATGCCCGTATTATGGTAACACAGACAGTGATGTTTTTCGATCAGAATAGAATCTTGGTTATTTATGTCCGATTAAGCTATTAGGCGCTTATTTTCCGGTATAGTTGCAACTTTCATTTTATTTCAATTTTTTTGTCTTTTTGAAGAATGAATATTATTTTATTGTTTTATATAATTTGATGGCATAGCTCAAAGTGAACTACAATAAATTAATTGAAATCCAGATCTCTTGAGCTTTTTTAAGTCTTGTTTTCTTATCCGACTTCTTGACGGTACTTTTGTGGAAAAGGGAATAGAAAGACCGGAGAAATTGCGTCAGGAGTATGTACCGATGAAACTGCTAATAAGATAGGGTTTACATATTTATCCCGGGGTAAAGGAAAACTGTTAGGACAGCTCAATCATCAGTGGTGGGATTGATATTTTTTGTCAGCCGGTTCCATCATACAAATGTCGAATTTTCAGGCGGTTCTGTTACAAAAAGTCATGTAATGCTATCCGGTTCGCTGATCTCGTGAAATTCTGTGAGATTTATAGAACCGGCTGAATCCCACTACTGTCGATCATATGGCGAACCGGTTACCAGTTCATGTCGGGTAGGGATTTGTTTTCAGACGCATGTTTTCGATGGTGGAGGAAGTCGTGACCGATGAGCGGTTACATGAACCATCCAACGACGGCGGGGAGTACAGCAATCCCTTTTACACATAATTCTCCCCCATGGGATGCGAACCCACGCAGTGTAAATAGCGGTGCTGTGGCGAGCGTATTTCTAACATTTAGTACGATGCGCCACACCGCCGAGCCTAAATGAATTGCAATAAATGCACCTCACTTATTGCTCGCCTGCTTCGGAGAAGCACTCTTCTGATTTGAAAACTAATAGCTCAGCATAAATTGTAATGCGATTTTGATTAAAATTTTACATGGTGCTGGGATTTAATCCGAAATTCATTGGTGAATCGCAAGTTTTCATAAAAAGGGAGGTGGAAAAATATTACGCATCAACCGACTTCTTGAGAATGGCTCCACCCCACTTTGCATGATAAGGAAACGTGTCACTCACTAACTTGCGCTCGAGAGTCAATCAGCTGATTTTGTTATGCAGCGACGTGGAACGATTAAAGGACATATGATTGGTTATTTGCAACATTATAACCACGCCTCCTGTCGGACTGATCTAAAAATTAACATTTCCGATGGAATTAGTCTGTGATAGGAGCGGGCGCGGGCTGTTGTTTTTCCATGGCAAACATAGATTCTGTGGTCTGGATTGTTTCATTTTAGGCATATTTGATTTTGAATAATCTTCCTAAAAAATGCGATTTATAGATGTCTAAGAACAGAAAGACGCGTGTATATAAAGCATAGACAGGCACTTGGAGAAAAATAAAAATATTTTGCTCATATCTTAATTCAGTAATTACAGAATTATAGTAAAGTAATCTTTGAATGGTGTAGTCCGGTGGGGTTAGGATTAATATGTTCAATAATCGTTATGAGACACCCACTAGAAGGACCGGTACTTGAGGTACGAAACTACATGAGACCCAAATTTTTTTCCTTCGGTAAATCGAATTATTTTTTTCCGAGGAATCCAATGGTGCTGTTTCAGAAATCTGGATATGGAGGCCCAGACTGTCTTGTAAAGGAGGGTTTTGCACTCATTGTTATAATTGACGTCTTCCAATGTGGGGGCTATTCTTGGAATCGGTGAGCTACCGTTATGCTGTACTGTTAGAAATAATCATGCTCTAATTGTTTACAGATTATTTTATAGTATAACAAAACCTTCGCTTTTTCTTCAATGGAATATATCACCAATTTATTTAACCCTGGAGGAAAAGAATTTTACGCAGACTGGCTTTATGGAGGAGTGAATTTCAGTATTGGTGGGAACGGAGGGGCTGAATGCGCAAAGTACCTTTCAGTATGGACGAGAAGTACAGAGACTATATTCATTATTTTGCTTTCGATATTTGAGGTCATTTGGGCGTTCCAAAAATTGACTTTTGAAGGTCATACCCAAGGTGATGATGATGAAAATTCTGAGGAATCATCAAGAAGTGCGTTTCATCTGTCATCTGATCGTGCTCCTGTTGCCTTGGACTGCGTTGTACATTCAGTGAAAAAAGTGGAGAGCTCTAAAGACAAGTATGGAAAAATCATATGTTACTTTTAGGTTTTTGTACTGGCCAGCTCTGAAGGGCCAAATAGCGTTTGGAACTCTATATATCCAATTCTAACTTTCATAGGTTTGGTTACAACGGTGGGCAATAGTTAATGTATATATTATCCAAATTAAACTAAGAGAAACTATCGTTTTTTTTAATTCATCAAGTGGTTGAAGAATATTTAGTTTGCAATATTGTTATTATACGTTTGTGTAAAGTTCTTTTCAGTTCACGACAATCCAATATTATTAATTTCAAAAATAATGCGACTCTCACATATTTCTGACTTGCTGCATGCGGCTCTTATACTAAAAAATTTTGCCCACCCCTGGTGACTGATGTAAAGTCGGATAAAAGCTATATCATGCACTAATTCATATGTAAATCATATTCTTTCGATATTCTAGTCCCAATATGAAAATTTTTCACTGAAACTTTCTTACAGTTAGGTCATGCGAGGCCCATCAAATTAAAAAAAATTGGATATTTTGAAAATTGGTACAAATGCTGTTAGTGTGCTGATCCTAACTAAGCGAGTATCTCTGGTTAATTATCATAAATTTAAATCCCACGTCCGCCACCTCATCCAAGATTGTATTCAAATTGGGTAGGCAATGCCGAAGCATTAAAATTTCTGTCTTTTAAAAAATAGTAGATCAGGTCAGGAGCTGCTTTACAGAGCCCTGTTGAGATCAGACACATGGAAAGGGCCTCGTGGAGTAAAAGCCGTAACTTCTCAAATAACGCCAAACACGTGGTTTGAAAATGAATACTGATAGTGCTTAAATAATGCCAAACAAAAATGTGATTTAAAAACACAACCCATACTTTATTTTTAAATAAAAGCCGGACTTGCCTGAACCCAATACCCTAAACGGCATGGGACATACTGGACCTACTTAGCTTACAATTGAGTAAGTTTGATTTAAACTAAACGTGTGTTTTAGGAATTTTTTTCTGCGTCATACAGACTTTTTTTTATTACATTAAAAGATCACATTACATTTTTGTTTGGCAGTATTTGAGCAGTTATGGCATTCACTTCACTAGCCCCCATGGAAATGCTGTATACAAAAAAAAAATTAAAATTTGAGTCTCAATTTGATAGAAACAAAGATTCAGAGGCACACTTTAATCTTTAAAAGATAATATTAAAAGACTGGACATCTGCAAAATGCAAGTCTATTAACAAATTAAGAATCAATTATCTGAAGATCAGTGAAATTATTTTTCACTTACAAATGTCAATGCGAATTTAAATATCTGCGATAATTTTAGCCAGACTTATCGGTAGCTGCATCCTGCATGTCAACTCAAAAGGCCATGGTTAGGATTTCGTTTCATGCGATGGCCTAGTTGTTAAAGCGTCATCTTTATCTTAACATGGTGTCATTGCGAGTTGCATATCTCTGGTTGAAATTCCATGTCCATCACCTCACTCAAAGTGTGCGCGATTCGAAACTGAAATGATTCCGTTTTTCTCAAACTAAAGTGGCACCTTACGGTCTCTACTTGTGATGAGCTTTGTTTGGAGCAAAAGATGATTGATTTAATGATATAAGAATCTGTTACATTCCTCATTCTCAGTGGTTGGCAAAGTTTTTTAAGTGAGGCCCAAATAGAAAAATGGAAAAGGATTTTAGGCTGTGATTGGTTGTCATACACATGGTCGCGTGTTTACTCTATGACAGGATTTTGAGACACTTTTTACTGTTCCTAATAAAATTAAAACATAACAATAATGGTTATCATTTCCATTATCTGTAATTCTTTTCTGCAACCAATTGCTGTGATAGGTGTGTATGGCGTGTTGTGATTTGTAAGATCGACTTATGTACTAGAAGTGGATAGTTATTACAGATTTTTGAAGAGCCATCAGACGACATATTATGAACCTCTTATATTTATTATTCCAGAATTTTCAAACTCTGTCTATTAATTGTAATAATGAATCATCATATTTTGACTCTACCAGGAACCGATTATATTACAACATTGAACAAATATTTAACCAGACTGGGGACTTTTTAGTAACAATATTTGTATTTACTATCTGAACTGTGGTGATCCCGTTCTTAGTATTGCATGCTTCAATGCACAAGTATTAGGGGCGTGTCTAGTAGCAATTGGGCCAAATATCTTTTCAGATAAATTTAAAAAAAAATTAATTTTGAATATGAAATAACGATATATAAATTATAAGGCCCGCGTGCCTGTCGAGTTTTGAGGCTCCGGCCCAGTAATGAAGTCTATTATCAGTAACTGGCCCTCTCAGAAAAGTAATTGCCCACCCCTGTTCTAGATTCTCGAAGGTTAGTTAAAGATTGATAGTCGTCTATGGAATGGTTTTATTATTGGGAACAAGGATTTTTTGCAGGCAATCGTTAAAATGTAGCTCATGTATATGTCATAATTAACAGTTTACATATGTCACATAAAAGATATGTACCAAAGTGGCTAACAAAGGGTTTTTAACTGAAATGACATTGAATTTAAGTTAAGATAGATATTAGATTTAGATATTTATACAGGGAAGAGGAGAGCCGATAAGACGGCTCAACTATATGGCAAACCACGGCCTTTCATCCGGTTACCAATTCATGTCGGGTATGGGATTAGTTAGTTAGTTATTCGTTTCGGAAGCATGGACTTGATGGTGGAGAAGAGTTTCCAGAAATTGAAAAGAGTAAGATTTCGTACTTTTTAAAACCATCCTAAAATTAAAAATTTTGTATTCAGGGATCCTTGGCCATGGATGAAACGTGCACTTCTTGTTCTGCTCTGCACAGTGTTCGGGATCGAAATTGGATATAAATTTGCGACTAAATCAATCATATATCTTCTGAACCCATGTCATATGCTCACTTTCACTCAGGTTGGTGATGATTTTATATCCAATCAGAATAGTTTGGACTGGGGGTGTGTAACCTGAGGCCCGTGGGCCAAATGTGGCCCACAGGAAGAAATTGTGCGGCCCGCGGAGAAGTGCCAATTTGGAATAGTGTGTGGCCAGTGGAACGAGTTTTTGATTTAGTTTAACTTGGTACGTGCAGGTAGCTCCAATTCCTTTGCGTTGCAAAGCCTATAGTTGAGTATAATTGCACGTTAAAATGCCCCAACACCCAGCTTGTGCGAAGTGAACAACGCATGTCATAAGATCAATGACCAAAATTTTTGTCTTTGCAACTACTGGAAAGCCTATGTTAAATAAAGATGCAGCAAGCGGTTTCACCCAGTTACTTGTATCCCTCCTGTATTATTAAAGGTTGTACACCCCTGGTTTAGATAAACAGTGTTTTTTTGACTGTCTATTATTTACAGTGTCATAATATGAGAGGTATATTTAACATCTAAATCGCGTCCATGAGAAACAAAAGACTTTGTATGACAATTTTCGGCGCTCCAGAAGCATGTGCACCAAGATGGCGCACAACCTGATACCCAAACCTGGTACACAATACTATGTTCGGGTTGTGTGCCATCTTGCTGCGCATTCTTCGGGAGAACCAATTTTTGTGCTTGCAAGTTGCAACTACTGCAAAGCCTACAGTTTGTCAGATAAAGGCGCGTCCTGCAGTTTCACGTTACTTGTATCTGGTCCTTCTGTTCTTATAAAGGTTGCACACTCCCGGTTTAGATAAACATTGTTTTTCTGACTCTCTATTATTTTGGGGGTTATAATATGAGCGCAATATATATCAGGCCTACATCCAAACATGAGATGTCATATTATTATTAATAATGTTTTGAATAATAACGTCTCCAGGAAGTGGGCTTATCATGTTTTATTAATCGATATTAGTGTTGTAATCATTAGATAATATGTCCGGTGATGCGGTTATTCTGTCTGTTATTTATCATCAAATAAGATATGCAATGATGCATTAACTAAATTTAATATTCTGACAAAATTATTGTAAGGTCGTAAACATTTATTGATTAATATTTGCACTCGTGGGTACCTATCTCGCGATATGAAAAAAATAATAATAATTTATTCAATTTCTGAAAATTTTGGAAAACAATCAAATTATTGTTTATTATCTTCCATCTTCAGATATCAGTGGTTAAGAATTATGTTAGATGTTAATAAATGCTCGTAATGTTTTAAATTATTAGCATCAGCAAATTTGAAATGAAGCCGTATATACTGGAAATTTATACAATTTGGACATTGAACTATAATCATTTTATTGATCTGCAGATAAGCCTCTTATCATTTGATTAAGATTGTGTTGTTAACATCTGGTTTTGAAATTAAATCTGCCTTCTAAATATGATTGCTTTAAAAGTATCATTTGATTAAAATTGTGTTGTTAACATCTGGTTTTGAAAAGAAATCTGCCTTCTAAATATGATTGCTTTAAAAGTATCATTTGATTAAAATTGTGTTGTTAACATCTGGTTTTGAAAAGAAATCTGCCTTCTAAATATGATTGCTTTAAAAGTATAGGGTATCCGTGGAGACTTTAAATGCTTTAAAATAACAAAGGTAATTTCTTGATACCATACATTGTTTTGACCCTCACAGACGTATTAAATGAAGTAAAAATACTTGAACAATTACTGAATAAAAAACAACAAACCTGGTTAAGATATATTGAGAACTGACTTCATAACAAAATTGAAATTGTAAAGCGACTTTATGGACACTCTGTATATTGCATAAATACCGCGCGGCGGTGTGGCTCATCGTGCCGACCGTTACAATAATTAATATATTGTTATTTACAGTTCTCAAGTATGGTTTAAACGAGAATAACGAAAATTTTGACTTTTTCTACGCACCGCAGGTACAAATTCGCAAAAGAAGAAAAGTTTTGCGACGCCCTATCAATATTGAAACGACGCACTTGGCGTCGCAATGCCCAGTTTGAGAACCATGGTGTTACGTAATCAATGCTATCTGTTATGTACTTGGACGCCTAAGGCGTCAGTGTTATTTACCGGCGCTTAAAATTCAACAAGTTGCGACAAAAGCGCTTCTTATTTCCTATTGTTCTCTACCACTGAAAAATCAGCTTTTACATCGACGGGTATTCAAGCACCGGCCCTTATTTATTTTTATGTTCTGTTCACACGGGCGGCTATTCAAACGGGCGGTAAAACGAGCATATTTGGTATTCTGAATTTTTTCCAAAGTCAAGTATTACCAATTTTGAAAGCTGTATCAAGCAAATGAAAACAAAAATATACTGGACATTGATCCATATATTGATCTATAGATAAGCCTCTTATCATTAAATTAAGATTATGTTGTTTTTAATCTGTTGGAATCTTACTTATTTCTCATGTGCGGCTGTTCCCTGGATAGAAAGAACTTTTTGAATTAAAAAAAAATTCCGTTGGCTGTTAAGACTTGGCAATTAGAAATTTTTACAACCTCTGTTTTTCGAAAGTTCCTGGCAATGCCCCTTTTCAAGATTATCTTGCGATACCCAGTTTAAAACCCAGCAAAACATATTCAATATTTCATATTAAAAAAACATCTTCCGAGTCTCTTCTAAACAGTAATCCATTCCTTTTTGTCCCTGCTTTGAGCATTATTATTAAAATTCCATGTTCACAATGTCAGACTATAATTTAGCTCACTATTTCTGTCAGATGATTTTTTTCCATTAGATAATAAATATTTTATGAAGTCTTGTACTATGCTGTGTGTGACTTTATTCCTTAATCCTATTATTAGCTTGACTGTAAATTGTCAACATGTACACAAAGAAGAAAATTTATAAATTTAAGAATAAGGGTTTGCCAAAATTATATAATCGTACAGGATGACGAAAATCTCTCAATTACCTATACAAAAATAAAGAAAATTTATTTGACACTTGGAACTTCTGTTTGTGTATGATTTTACCCAAAAGTTTCTGTAATTTAGGACGCTTCGAACTAAAGTCATATTTTCACCAGAATATACTCCAAATGAAAATTTTAAGGCGACCCAGTTTTTTGTCACAACCAATAGATTGGAAACACTGAAATATTAGGTACTCCCGTAGTATGTGTACCAGGTTAGGGTTAGGCCATAATTCAGGGGCTGTCTGTGTTAGCCAAATGAATATACCCCCTGCCCATAGGTTTCAGTTCCTTTACACAACTTGATGTAAAGTAGGCGAACAAAATTAGTTACCGGTACCTTCATATTGGTACACATACTTCTGGAGTGACAAATATCAGTTACATACCGACTACCGAGATATCGGGAGCACATAGTTCCATTATTTAGTCTACCACGTAGTGTTATTTATTGACAAAATTATGTGCTGGTAGCCCCAGGAAATTCAGTGGCATGTTTTTTTGAATTGTTTGTTTGGACTTGATGGATCACATTGTTCTAAGTGTTGTTATCACACGGCGGATTAGCGTATGTGGGGGGAGATGATCATGTGTATAATGTTACAACATGCTAAACATCCAACACAGTGGTTCCCAAAAGGTGGGGTGCGCCCCACAAGGAGGGTAGGCTATGTTTTGAGGGAGCGTGAAGCTACCGGTAATTAAAAATGAAAGTTTTTGTTAGATTTGATCTTGCCCGCCTTATTTTGGATATTTACGTTCCATCCACGTATTTTCAATGTGTTTTTTGAATAAAACATACTTTCGCTTCACTATCTGTTATGTGTAGCTTATTGTTAGCTGGTTATTTTTGAGATGGGGCGTGACTGCACGACACTTGACAAATTCTAAAAAAAAAATTCTCTTTTTACATGGGGGGGGAGGGGGTTCTGACATTTGTAATTGCCAAGTTAGACCGGGTCGACCGGAAAACGTGGGCTTCCAAGAAACTTGAGAGTCTATAAAGCGTTTTGGGCTTCGAAAAATTGCTATGTACGGTACAGAAATATGTTTTTCATTTATATTTTAAAAGAGAGGGGTTCCATCTTGCAACTCCCCCTCCAGGGTACAACCCTTGTATCAGTGTCTGGTTCTGCAAAGCCTTGTTCTGAGTGAAGTTATGAAAATTAAATCTAATTTTATAATTTTCATTCAGACTCTTTCAATTTCTTGTTCAGATTTACCTATTGGCTTCAGACCATCAGAAGAAATGCAAAACATTGAACACTGTATTTAGGTGAGTGGGAATTTTTTGAAAAATTCGATTAATTCTGCCAGATTTCATATTGTAGTTGTGATGTCCTAGTTGTTAAAGTGTTTGATTCAATCATGTTAGATGGTAAAGAGTTTGCATTTATTCACCTTTTGTTATATCTAGTAATTATCTATCTCCAATAATCAATGTTAGTTGGCTAATTCGCAAAATTCATGGTTCTCACCATCAATCTCGGTGTCGCTGACCGATAATCAGTTTTGGTTTCCTGCGGCTTCATTGTAAAACTGTAAACATCATTTTCTCGTGATTTGTTTACTGTTTGAAAAAAATAATCTGGACTTGACTTTTGTAACGTCATAAACGTAGATGATAAATCGAAGGTATAGGTTTTGCAAGGCAAAGAGATTGGAATTACTCGCATGTACCAGATTAAACTAAATTAAAAATTTGTGTCGCGGGCCGCAAACCACTCAAAATTTGCATATTCCAAAGGCCGCAAGATGTTTTCTTGTGGGCCGCATTTGGCCCACGTTGCACACCCTTGGTTTATACAATGGTGACTGTATATCTAGCGACTGATTTTGATTTAAAGTAGGCTTTGGGTCTGAGGTCTGAATAATTTGATTTAGCACACTATTCAAATTCGAGATTCCATATTATATGTATAAAGTTTAAATATAATCAAATAGAAGATATTCATCATATTGAAAGTGTGTTTCACTGCTGTTACTAGTAAGACCTTCAGGTGTTCTGTGTCATATTGTAGTTTCACTTGTTATTGGCTTATTTTTCTCAAGCCAGATCGTAAAAGACATACCGATAATCATAAAGTAGGCCTATGTGTCGAAAAATTTATGATTTTTATTAAATGTTTTTCCAAATTCTGATTTTTAAATTTACAACTTTAGCTATAATCTTACTTTAAAATAGATAACCCAATACAAAAAAATCATTGAAAGTTTTGAAAGTTGAGCATCGATCCTGAGCGAATTATGTTCGACTACCGAGGCGTCAATGTATTCAGAATTTGGAATTAAGTTTTTAAATATCAAACTATAAAGATACTGGCATCTTAGCTTTTTAGTGTTAGGCGTGAATACTTCAAGTCTCACTCAAGAGTCATCTGTGATTCTAGCACCATTGTTATGTTTGCGTGGTTTTGATATCCTGCTTTTGTGGCATTAGATATTCATGACTATAATAAATTACATGAGCATTATACTTGATAGGCAGTATCTAGTATAGCTGCCCTGAAATCAAATTTCTTATCAAATGGCAGCCCGAATATGTCCTCAACGTGGGGAACCATTCAAAAGGTAGTTGGAACGGTAATTAAATCTATACCATCTTACTAAGCTTTCTACATAATGGTGATTGGGGACCATGTATTCATCCCTACTCCTGCTGTCTGTATATCAGCCCAATATGCCTTCTACAATAGAGGTTTCAAAATGTAAATATTTGCCCCAAAATGCAAAAGTTGTTCTACTATAAATAGAAAAAAGGTACTCTGAAAGTTTGTGAACCAAGATGGCGGACACCGGTACGTAGTATGTGTACCAGGTTAGGGTTACGCCATAATTTCAGGTACAAATACTATGGGAGCCACTTGGCTAGTCACCGAACTCGTATTAGAACTAAATGGAGGAAAATTAAAATAAAATCATGGCCAACCCTAACCTGGTACACATACTATGTACCGGTGTCCGCCATCTTGGTTTACATACTTCGGGAGTACCGAGAAAAGGTCACTCTAATGAAGATTGGAACCATACATCCATTTATATTCTTAACATGCTGCCTTTATAGCAGCCCAATGTGTTCTCTGTGTGGGAAGGCCATTCAAACGGTGATTTGGGATCATATATATATTTCTATTCCAAATATATTAAATTATTTGAATTTACTGAAACCTGTTGGCCAAACAACTCAGTAATGTATTCATTTTGATAAAATGTTTCATTCAACACTTCAAAAAGTAATTTTAGTCGTTGAGTTCTTTGTTTAGCATAAAAGCTTCTAATTTGAAGCTTAGCTTTCGCTTTTTTGTCTTTGTTGCGCGGAATATGACACAATTTAATTAAATTGAGATCAAATTGACTGTGCAGAATCTGTCACGCCTGCAGGGTTTTTTGTTCCTTCATTTGGAACATTGGTTTGGAATCTTGATATAACAAATGGTACAGGTTTATGTTTTAGTTTTAATGTTGTATTTACTTGTATCGTAATATTTTGAAGGGACTGTACTGTTTTGATGATATCACAGTCATTGCATTACATTTTTTTTTTACGGGTGTATATTGTATTTCATTTCAATTGTCATATTTTTCACATATTTGTCAAACTTAAATTTGAATTGCCCATATTTTGGACTTTACTCTTCGCCAGGCCATCACAAACATGAATATATTAGTAGTCTTTTTTAGTGTTTGCCTGTGACTTTCCTGAGAGATAATTATCCTTCATTGCTCCTGCGTGTGCTTTGACTGTGTTCTATTAAAAAATGGGGGCTCCCGAAGTATGCGAACCAAGATGGCGGACATCGGAATGTAATAGGTGTACTAGGTTAGGGTTAGGCCACAATTTCAGGTATAAATACTACGGGAGACTCTTGGCTAGTCTTCGAACTGATAATAGGACTAAAATAGGGAAAATTGGAAAAAAATTATCGGCTAACCCTAACCTGTTACCCATGTTACGTTCCGATGTTCGCCATCTTAGTTCGCATACTTCGGGAGCACCAAAAAATGTAAGCTGTCAATCTCTTAGTCATATCATAGTGAAGGGAAATTATCAGTGTAATTATTTTCAAGTCGGGCTTGTCGAAGAAGTCTGAGCCAAGTCAGATAAACTTTAAACCCTGATGGATTGCTAATAGATTTTAGCATATCAGTGGTATCTGTGACTTTGCTCCGATATGAAATTTTTCTTTTTTGGGTCACCGTGCACTTGGTCTGAATTATCTCTAAAAATGTGAGATATTCATTTCTTAACATTATTATAGTAGAGAGAAAATACCGTTATAAAGTCCAATTGCCCTCAAGGCTCTTTGTTACTATTTTTATCTGTTTAGTAGTCTTGCCTTCCCTTGCCTCTCTCTTCATACATTTTTATTTATTTATGAATTACCCACTTGTGCACAATTGTTTCAGCAGTGCCCGTAGACTTGCTCGGAGATGTATCTCCATTGCTTCTGAGGGTACTTTGACTGTTTTTTTTTTCTATTAGTCATATTACAGTGAAGAGGAATTATCAGTGTGATTATTATCATTTATCAAGACGTGGTTATCAAAGAAGTCTGACCCCAGTCAGACAAAACTATACTTCTGATGGATTACCTATAGAATTTGGCATATTAGAGGTTCTCTGTGACTTTTTCTCAGAGATGAAAATTCCTTCTTCTGAGCTGGTGCTTGCTTTGATCCGAAATATTTTATCAAAATAATGATAAATTAATGATTGATTGAAAAAATGTTAGCTATTCATTCATAATGTTAATTTTTATAGTAAAGAGAAACTGCCAGTATAAAGTCCAGTCGCCCTTAAGGCTCTTTGTTACTATTTTCATTTGCTGAGTGGTCTTGTGCTTCCATTCATACATTTCAGTTTCCATGTATTTAGGACTAGTCGATTCATACTTATTGTCCTAATGAGTCATTTCACAGAGTCTTTAGTGAAGTATTTCCTGTGTTGAGTTTCGCTTCTTTACAATGTCCAAAGACACTAAAACATGCAAAAACTAGTAACAAACACACTAAATGTGCATAAAAATGTCAAAAATATAAAAAAAACATGCAAAATCTGGCTGAAACCACCAAAAATCATGCTTAAACGTGCAAAAACCATCTGAAACCGTCAAAAAACAAGTTGAAACATGGTATCTTTCACTGAGTCATTAGTGAAACATTTCCTGCATTGAGTTTCGCTTCCGCGTAGTGTTTAAAGAATTTTTTAACTCTTGAAAGTGGGGAATGTCCAAAATGAATTGTTTGAAAATTGGTGATATTCTATAGCCTGCACTAAATATAGGATTTCAGGAAGAAGATAGAACAAATTCATTTGAATATGTTTAATACGGAAACGTGCAAAATCTGTCTAAAACCATTCAAAAAACATGCTAAATGTGCAAAAACCAATAAAAAGCGGGACAAAAGCATGAAAAAAAGTGCAAAAACCACCAAAACCATGAAAAAAAAAAAAAAAACATGCTAAACCACCAAAACCGTGCTGTAACAAAAACCCCAAATAAAGATGTGCTGCTAAATCATTTCACAGAGTCTTTATTGGAATATTTTCTGCATTGAGTTTCACTTTTTTTATGATGTCCAAGGTATTTTTGACTCATGGAAGTGAGGAGTGTCCAAGTTGTACTGAATGTTTGAAATTTGTGATATTCTATAGGCCTACACTAAATATCGGATTTCACGAAGAATTTCGAATATTTTTATTTGAATGTATTTCATGCGAGAATGTGCAAAAACTGTCTTAAACCATTCAAAAAACATGCTAAACCGGGGCAAAAGCATGAAGAAAACGTGCAAAAACCACCAGAAAACGTGCACAAATCACCAAAAAACAGGTTAAAACCACCAAAACCACGCTGTAACATGCCAAAAATTGTCAAAATCCCCAAGTAAAGACGTGATGCTAAATCATTTCACAGAGTTGGAATATTTTCTGCTTTGTGGGTTTCGCTTCCTTACAATGTCAAATGTCATTTTGAGCCCTTGAACGCGTGAATGTCCAAAATGAATTGAATATATTGAATGTTTTAAATTTGTGATATTCAATAGGCTTACAATAAATGTCAAGATCATGTCAAATGGCTTTCGAATTCTTGAGAGCATACATGTCGAATAGGAATTGAATATATTGAACGTTTGAAATTGGTGATATTCAATGCAGTTGATTAGTAGTTTTTAACCATGTTCAGCGTAACCGTAAAGTTCCGCCGGTACAATCCAGGGGTTCCGCAAGTCAAATCCGACCACCAATCTTATTATTTGTATAATTTTTATTTATACTCAAATACGATGATATAATATAGTCATAATAAGAGTATTTCACTGGTGTTACCTCCAGATATTTTGTGTCAAATTGTAGTTTCATTTTTTATTTGCATATTTTTTTATTGTATATATGTTTATTTGCCACTAAAAGTAGCTGTATCCCATAGGCCTAAGACAGGGGTCGGCAACCTTTTGTCGCTCGCGGGCCAAAATAAGGGTTGCAAGTCACTGGCGGGCCGCACAATTTTTAAAAACCGAACAGATGATACTTTTTATAATAAAAATCAAGCAGTGATACATTGCATTACATCTCAGAAAATTCCATTTGAATATTTTCGGCACCATTGAACCTTTTGCACTTAGCATCAACTTTTCTGCGTTTTGTTGCCATTTGTCAAATTATAATTAAATTATAGGCTAATTGAACCAGTAATTGTGAATTTTATTCTTGTTAGATTATAATATAATTTAGTCTAAACGCGTCTCGCAATAAATTCTGGTACGTAAAAAATATAATCGTCAAAACAGCTGTTTTGTTACTATAATTCAGTGAAGGGTCGCGGGCCGAATTGTATTACTCCACGGGCCGGATGCGGCCCACGGGCCCGTAAGTTGCCGACCCCTGGCCTAAGACATAGTTGTGTGGCATGTATCCTCCACAACATATCACAAAGATAATCAAATATTCATATACCTTCAAGTAATTTCACAGGGTTCCTCATGCTTCTGGAATGTTTCACTACGGCTGCCCCACTGTGTTCAACAAATGATGCATAAAACTCGTATTTATATTTTGGAAATACAGAAGTTGCAGATAAGCAGTGGTTTGACTGTCTTTCAATATAAATTAAGGCCATTTTGGTTATATTGTGAGATGCTTAATGCAACACAGCATATTTTATTTAATGATATTTACGGCATTTTAATATTATTACGAGAATATTAAATTTAGTTTATGCATCATCACACATTGTAATTATTGACAGATTAAGGAATTGTTAATGCATCAGCGCACATTTTATTTAATGATAAATAATGACATAATAACCGCATCACCGCACATATTATCTGATGATTACGGCACTAATATTGATTGATAAAACATGCAACAATACCCTATACAAATGGCCACTAATATCTATTTAAATGTATCCACTATACGAAATGTCCAAAAAATTTGCCCGGTTTTGGTAATTACAATTAAAAGTTTATTTGAGTAAGGAACATTTCTTTGTCTTCGTTTGGTAATGGTTCTTATTGTGCTTGTAGTATTCATTTATCATAGAATAAAATTTATTTAAACTTGCGATTGTTATTATTATAAAATCGGGCAAAATTTTTTGGACACCCTGTATCTGGAAAGACATTGCATTGGGCGGGGGATTTAAGTCAGAGCTTTGCAACCTGTGGTACCAAAATAGTTAAGTCGAACGCTTTATCTACTAGGCCATCAAGTGCACGAGGGATGTCCAAAATGAATCAAATATTTGAATACATTAGAACAGGGGTGGCCAACCAGTCAGCATGTATGTTTCTTTGACGTAAAAGAAGAATGTACAATGAATAATAATATGTTAAATCAAAACATGATAAATCACATTTAATCGAAATTTATTTTTCCTGAAAATAAACAAGGCGAAAAGAGCCGCATGAAACCGGAGGAGTCGCATGTGGCTTGCGAACCGCCGGTTGGCCATCACTGCATTAGAAATTGGTAATATAAGATTTTGGGAAAAGTTTAAAATTGAATTAAAATTGCTTTTATTAATTGAAAATTTTGTCATTTTAACTATTTGACATGGTGGTCAGACATAATGTGGACTTCATTTAATTACAGACACTGTATAAATAAATTAAAAAAAAAAAAAATACAAATACACTATTTCCCGAACAGTTGAGCCAAATATGATATGAGCTTTCTAGTGTTAATGACAACTATTAACACTGATGAGGAAATACCGGTATCTCATTGGTGAAAATGTGTGAAGTGATTGACTTCTAGTTGACCCTGTGAACTCTCAAACATCACTAAACCATCTGTTTTCAAATCCTCCTTGCGTTATTCGGCGCTCCAGAAGTATGTGTATTAATATGGAGGTAACTAATTTTGTTCGCCTACTTTACATCATGTTGTGTAAAGGGACTGAAACCTATGGGCAGGGGGGTATATTCACTTGGCTAACACCGACAGTCCTCGAACTCGTAATAGAACTAAAATAGGGAAAACCGGAATAAAATTATGGCCTAACCCTAACCTGGTACACACACTACGGGAGTATCTGTCATTTTTGTGTGATCAAACTGATAACGTCTCCTGTAAAACATGCAACGCAAAACATGTTAATGTTTCCCTTCATCGCAAAACATGTCATTTAATGTCTAAGCAAATACTTTGTGTGCGTGTTTGTTATTTTATTTCAATTTTGATTGGAATAAAAAAATTTAGGCATTTTACCGTAACGGGAATGAAATATATCGATATTGCGTAATTTTCGGCGTTATCGAACTGATAACGTCTTCTGTAATGGTTTAATGCAAAACATGTCTAAGCAAACACTTTGTGTGTGTGTCGTTTTATTTCAATCCGGGTTGAATATTTTACCATGAATGGAATGAAATATAGCGATATTGCGTAGTTTTTGTGTTATCCAACTGATAACGTTTCTTGTAATGTTAATGTTTTCATTCAACGAAAAACATGTCTTTTAATGTCTAAGCAAATACTTTGTGTATGTCTTTGTTGTTTCCTTCCAATTTCCGTTGAATATTTTAGCATGGATGGAATGAAATATAGAATTATCGCACCATTTTTGTGTTGTCAAGCTGATCACGTCTCCTGTTTTACCATCACTCCGATAGCAAAAAATGACGCGATAACGCAAAATGCTACAAAATTGCGTTTAATAAAAATGTTGAAAAGGTGTGGTTGGGTGGGGGTAGTCATGGCCTCCCTGGCTACGCTATGGTAATGAGTCTCACACTGTTATTGGCCCGTGACCTATATGTTTTTTCCGCTTGATATGTTTACTTCTAATGGTGATTTTACACCTAAATAAGTAGCTCATACAAACAAATAGCAGATGGTGAATGAATTAGTCATTCATTTGTTTACATTTGATAGCTGTGATTTTAATAACTGAGATGTTAAATCAACCAACCGGTAATAATGATTTGAAAATACAAAAATAGAGACATGCTACTTGTGTTGTGTGGCTGTCCTATTATGATAGACCACTAGCTTCTTGGCAGGAGGCCATTCGAATAGCAATTGGGCCATATATCCATCCCTATCCCTACCTACCTTCTGTCTATCTGGGCTGCCCAATAGCCTTCTATTAAGTACTCTATTCCAGCTATTGAGACCATTTTCCATCTTTATCCCTAAGTCTTTTATTTATTTGTATTTTATTGTATTATAAATGAGAACTACAAGCAATATGACAATAAGAACTATTGTATGTGTATGTATGTATGTTTATTCGTCTCGTAAAAGCAATATAAAAGAGTAAGTAATTATAAATACCGAAGACGGGATGTATGCACAAGACCATATTGGCCTAAAACACAGATGTGCGGCATACACCCATTTTGATATATATAAATTATAATAGGGTAAATCAAATATGTACAATATGGTCCTTTATACAGGCAGTTGTGCAAGGAGGGGGATGGTGGAAGCGGTAACAGGGATAAGGGTGGAGTGTACATAACTGTTTGTACAAAGGAGTTTGTTAGACAAAACAACATCTATAAATAGAGACACAACACAACATGAAACTATTAATAATAAACAAAGACAAAGAAATTTTTTATTGTTATTACTATAAAATTGTTCGAATTTTTCGGACACCCTGTATATACAGTTATGGGTGCTCCCGAAGTATGCGAACCAAGATGGCGGACATCGGAACGTAACATGGGTAACAGGTTAGGGTTAGGCGATAATTTTTTTCCAATTATCAGTTCGAAGACTAGCCAAGAGCCTTCCGTAGTATTTATACCTAAAATTATGGCCTAACCCTAACCTAGTACACATATTACATTCCGATGTCCGCCATCTTGGTTCGCATACTTCGGGAGCCCCCAGTTATGATATCTTTAATGAAATCGATTTTTGGCCTGATTGTAAACTGTAAAGTACCTTTGTGTAGAGCTGTAACTGGCATAGCTTTCTGAATGTAAAGTTTGAACCAGGGGTGTGCAAATACGACTCACAGGCCGGATCCACCAAAGTGTTTCATTCGGCCCACTTGTGTCTGGTGAAATCACAACTACAGTTTTTATGGATATAAATTTCCGTTGATAATATGGATGAAAATAACGTCATAATGACCCTGATTGCTACATTGTGCTTCTTCTTATTATAACATTAGCCCAACTGTTGTAAATATATTTTTTTATTTAGTTTTTCGTATAGAGTTTTGTGCCTCCGGCCAGTAATCAAGTCTATTATCTGTAGCTGGCCCACCCAGGCAAGTAAATGCCCACCCCTGGTACCTAATACAGCAATTGTAGCAATAAAATAAACTCTTCTCTAATCGAAAAAAATGTTCCCTTTTTCAGAGTCCACCTCTACCTCCTAAATGGGGCTTTACTAGCAATGATATTCTACGTGGTGAACACTAGATTTCTTCCGTTTGAGCAAGCAATATACTGGATACAGCACGTCCTCTTGTATCTTATTCCTGTATATTTAATCTCACTTGGAGGCTCGTACACTCCAGATACCTTTTCTGACCTCCGGTGGTCAATTTTTAGCATCGGCTGCGGATTTATATACCATTTTACACTACTTCAAGGTCTTGCCATGGTAAGTGACTGATTTTTGTTCTTTATGTTCCTCTGAAATGTTCTTTATGTTCCTCTGAAATGTTCTTTATGTTCCTCTGAAATCCTCTTTTTGTTCTTTATGTTCCTCTGAAATGTTCTTTTTGTTCTTTATGTTCCTCTGAAATCCTCCTTTTGTTCTTTATGGCTCTCTGAAATCAACTGCAGCATCCTTTCTAACAAAACCATGTTGAAGGACAAATGACATTTTTCGTGAGAGGTGTTTTAATTCCTCATTGAGGATCTGAACACACACACACACACCATCCCCCATTTGAAATTTAAAAAAAGAAATTGTGTAGGAGACAGCAAATTTTAGTAGTTTGAAAATTTTTTAGACCCTCAAGGTATGAAAACCCACGTCGCTGCCTGTTACGGTCCCTTGGCAATTGGACATTTCAGAACCCCCTTAAATAAATAAATAAATTAAGTAAAATAAATATTACATACAAAGCAATCATTTACACATAATATTTATTTCACCAGAAAAAATTACTTTAATGTCGCATTAGTGAGAAAGCTGCCCTTGTTTGCCATCAGCTAGTTTTCAATATACATGCTACCAATCTGTTACACCACGGTACTTCAGAGATCACAATTACACATATAAGATCATTATCAGGCAATGTTTAATATTAAACACAAAATAAACAATAAAATTCACTAGACAACTGAAATCCATAACTTGATGATACAAGACCGGAAATGATTTTCAGGCGACCCCACTTCAGGAAACACTGGTTTAATAGATAGTAGGTAATATAGATAGTATAGTATAGTAAAATTATTAGGCAACGTTCAATATTACATACAAAATAAACAATAAAATTCACTGGACAAATGAAATCAATAACTCAAATGATGTTGTTGAAAAAACAAGCGACTGGAAATAATTTTCAAGCGACGAACTTCATGTCGCGATACAAACATTTGGAAACCCTAATTTGAGAACTGACTAACTCAGTATATATCATATAGGGTATCGCTGACATGATGACTTTTAATAGTCTTTACGTGACCCCTCGCTCATTGCAGTTCAAATATTGTACATTTTTCTTTTAATGGATTTATTCAGTTTTTACTATTTCTTTAAATGTAAAATGTTATCAAGGTTTCCATCTGATACATGAGCCCAAATTAAAATTCACTCTGATCACTGCGCACCCGCCTATGTTTTTCAAGAATTCTGATTGATATTTAATATCTGATTTGAATATTTAAAAGCTTTTTATTATTTTAAGAAACCCATCCTAATGAGGTCCCTGATTAAAATTATTTTTCTATCATCAATAACTCAAATGATGTTGAGGAAAAGACAAGCGACCGGAAATAATTTTTAGTCAACTGAACTTCGTGTCGCAACCCAAACATTGGCAAACACTACTTTAATAGATCTAAATTTGGGATCTTAATTTCGAAACATGGATATTTTGACCTCACCCCATGTATTACAAAGTTCCAACTGATAACAAGAACCAAAAAGTTTTTGATCTCTGCGTTTCTGTCTATGTTTTTCAAGATTCCTGTTTGGTTAAGATTATCTCAAATTAAAGTTCAATTTAATCTCTGCGCACACGCCCATGTTTTTCAAGATTCCTATTTGATTAACATTAGATCAAATTATAGTTCACTTGATCTCTGCGTGCCCGCTCTATGTTTTTCAAGAATTTTGTTGATTGTGATTAGTTGATTTAATGTTCACTTTGATCTCCGCTCGATTGCCTCTTGTTTTTCAAGATTCCTGTTCGATCAACATTAGATCAAATTAAAGTTCACTTTGATCTCTGCGCACCCGACCTATGTTTTTCGAAGTTCCTATTTGGCTATGATTGATTAATTTAATGTTCGCTTTGATCTCTGCATTCAGTTTCTTTGTTTATTTTTAATAATAGATACATTTAATTTAGTTGAATCATAAAAAAAAAAATTTTTTGTTGCAGATTACCCAGACCAACCTTAACAACATGTTATGTCCGGCCGTGTCCGATCCATTCGAAGGCCAACACTACAGAAAATGGGCGACGGCACACCAACACGCCATGATAATTCTACACGGAAAAGTTTACGTTTTTCTGGCACGCGCGTTATCAAGGATTTTAGCGGCCGTACAATCATTTTGCGTTGCTGTGACGTTAAAAATGTGGAGGTGGACCATTCATTTATGTCTTGCGAGCGCAAGGGCTTATGTCAGAGTGTGCACGCGAAAACCAGGCGACGCAAAAACAGATGGCTTGCAAGAAAATGTATGCGCGGTACAAAAAAGCAAGGTGGCTTGAGATGCTATTCAAGACTTTTTTAAAGCCTGGTGATCATTGTGCATTTATTCAAACCTTTATTTTTGAAACTTTCGGTCTCCCGTATTCAAACTATTTACAGCACTCTGTGGTTGCTATATTCCATGAACCAGTGGTTCTGAAACTTTTTAAGCCGCGCCCCCTTTTTAGAATTAGAATTTAAAGGCCAACACTACAGAAAATTCTATTTGGATTGAACCTAAATAATGAAATAAATGGAAAGTTTTGAAATGTAAATATCCAAAATAAGGCGGGCAAGATCAAATGTAACAAATATTTTTATTTTTAATTAGCGCCCCCTCAAAAATTGTTTACGTCCCTTTTGTGTCCCTTTTCCAACATTCAAAAACCACTGCAATAGACCATTCAAGGGAAAAGAAAATTTCCAGTATTGTCATTTCGTCAAATTCGTCAGAATTGTCTTTGCAAGCGAGCATATCATAACTTAAATTTGAAATTCTGCCGCTGATGACCCAAGACCCATGAAGATGACTTCTTTTAATCAATTCCTGTTTTAAATCATTATTCAGTTCACCTCAGGGGTTGTCAAACTTTGTGTGTAAAAAATTCGCTGTAGGAAATTTCACCGCATAGGAAAATCGCAAGAGCATTTCGCTTTAAAACAAGTATTTGTGATAAAAACCACTAGGGTTTAAAGAGTTAGGGTATGCTCTTGAATAACGAATTTTTTTTAAATAAGGCGGCATGTCAAACTTCATGTCTAGAAAATTCGCTGTAGGAAATCTCACCGCATAGGAAAAATCGCAACAGCATTTCGCTTCAAAACAAGTATTTGTGATAAAAACAGTAAGGTTTATAGGGTTAGTGTATGCTCTTGAATAACGAATCGTTTTTAAATAAGGCGATTTTTCCCATACAACGAAATTTCCTGCGGCGAATTATCCTAGAACTGGTCAGACAAAACATTACGGCAATTTTTCCCATACGACGAAATTTCCTGTGGCAACGTTAAGGCGATTTTTCTCATACGGCGAAATTTCCTGTGGCGAGATTTCTTACGACGAAATTTCCTGCGGCGAATTATCCTAGAACCGTCAAATTTTCATGTGTGGCCCTTTTTCACGATTGAACCCCCTCGAATACAAAAGTTTTGACCGGTAATTCTATGTACCACGTTTTAACATAACAAAAAATCTTAACGATCAAAAGGATAATTGCATTCATTACAGTCAAATGAATTTAGATAATCACAGCCAGTTTACTTTAAATTAATCTAGTCATTGTGTATGGCACCTGGCGAGGGCCCTTGCTCTTAGTTGTGGCCCACTAGGAGAACCGCCCTGTGAACCCCTAGGGGGCAGGAAGCCAAGCTCAAAAAACTTGGTTCGAGTTGGGACCAGGGAGGAGGGGGTGTTGAGCTTGGAACCCCCCTTCTTGTGATTGGAAAAAAAAGGGTGTGTTTCTGTATCATACATAGCAATTTTTTGGGGCTCCCGAAGTATGCGAACCAAGATGGCGGACATCGGAATGTAATATGTGTATAGGTTAGGGTTAGGCCATAATTTTAGGTATAAATACTACGGGAGGCTCTTGGCTAGTCTTCGAACTGATAATAGGACTAAAATAAGGAAAATTGGAAAAAATTATCGCCTAACTCTAACCTGTTACCCATGTTACGTTCCGATGTCCGCCATTTGGTTCGCATACTTCGGGAGCACCATTTTTTGTAGCTTGAATGATTTCAGACATTGAGAATCTTGAAAACTCACTTTTTTTGCCTTCTGGCTGTTACGGTCTAACTTGGCAATTAAAAATGTCAGAACACCCCCTTCCTGGTTATGCCCGTGGTTGGGGCCAGGAAAACTTGTACGGCCCGCAGAGAGCGACACTATTAAATAGTGTGCGGCCGCGAAATGAGTTTTTAATTTAATCTAGTATGCACATTACCAAAATTTTGTGTCTGCAACTACTAGAAAGCCCATGTTAAATAAAGGTGGTCCATGGTTTCACCCAGTTATTTCTATCTGGCTCTCATGTATTAAAGGTTTGACACTCCTGCTGTACTTTTTTTTGAATATCATGTCAATTTTGATTCCAATATACATAGAGGATTTTAGCGCGCTCGTCTTGCTGTAATGTGCTCGTTGCCTACTGCATTAGTCCTAAATAATCATTATCTTACTTTGAAATGTCTAACTTATTCGGATTATGTTATCTCTTATCAAACTGCTATATTATGTTTATTTATTTATCTTATCTGACCTGTTATCTCTACCTTTATCTAACTGCTTATCTCTTACCAGTGTAATATATATGGGTGAATGAATGAATTTTTTTGTATTGTCGTGATTTGATTTGTTTTTGACTACTACAATTAGTGATGATTTTAGAGAGATGAGACACTGAGGGGGTATTTTTTCCTGTTTTGATGACCTTTGACCCCGATTCAATTGATTGATTGAACTTAATTTGATCCCAAATAGTTCAAAAGATTGTGGGGGGGGTTAAGTATGTGCGGGAGGATTGCTATACTCCTTGTCGCCGCAGAGTGGTTCATCTAACCCAGATTCGTCCAACCGTTTTGGTGGTGCATTTAACCGGTTGTCGGTTAGGGCTTCCTCCGCCAGTAAGTCCATGCATATGAAAACAAATAACTAGCTAACTAATGCCATACCTGGCATTGAATGGTAACCAGGCGAGAGGTCGTAGTTCGTCATATGATTAATCCTTCTTATCGGTTTTCTTCTCCCCTGGATAAATATGTGAATTCTATCCTAAGATAAGACTGATTGATAAATAATTATTGATTCCAATTCGATAGATTGAAACCTGTAATATATATATATATATGATTTATTACAAATGAATTGTTTGCTTATTATAAATCTTTTGAATACCCTTATAGGGGAATCTAGTCCCTAACTTACTATATGATGGTTTGCTTGGCTCTTCGACACAACCTAGTGTCGACACGATTGCTAGCCAATGACAGTTCTCAATCTTAAGTTTTTTGAATCAGGGGCCAAAAATTTTGCTCACCTAGACTGGCGGGCCATATAAGCGTGACGTAAAAGTTACGTTTTAGTTACAGTGTTACAAAAGCGAAATTGGAAAACAATAAGCCCCGTGCCAAACTAAATTTAACCGCAATCTCAACTAATTCCTTGAGCTATTTTCACCTAAAACATTGAAATTTGATTGTACCTTGGCTGTGGCAGCATCAGGCGGGCCAGATTGAATTACCCAACGAGCAGAATTTGGCCCGCAGGGCGTCGTTTGCCGATGTCAGTACTAGAACCTTGTGTGCCGCTGTTTTATAACCAGTTTCGCTTCCCGGCTGTTTCCTTCCCCAGTCAAATTATGTTCATGACTTTTACGCATATTTTTTGCATTTATATCATTTATTATTTTGCTGGTTGAAAAAAATAATCTCGCCTGTGACTAGGTCAGAAATAAAAACGGCGCTTCAGAAGTGTGTGTACCAATATGGAGATATTTTCACCTTTTTTACATCATGTTGTGTAAAAGAACTGATTACTATGGGCAGGAGGGTATATTTACTTGGCTAACACAGACAGTCCCCGAACTTGTAATAGAAATAAAACAAGAGAGCTATGCTCAATTATATGGACACGTAGCGCCACTCAATGGCAATAATTTTGATGACGTCATAGCGGAAAAAAAAAGTAATAGCCTTCTGGAGAAAAATTTTATCTTTAACCACTGAAAATTTCAAAGCAATTGGTCCAGTATTCGAAGAGAAAAGCGATTTCTTAATGATAATGACGAAAGAAAATAACAATAAAAACAAATTTTTGAAACGATCGTTATGGCCACTAAACGTGTCCAATAAGTGAAATCGGAATAAAATTATGCATTAACCTGGTACACATACTACAGGAGTACCATAAAATCAATGGTTGGATTGATTGATACTAATCAAAATTTTTCATTCTCACCTGTTTTGTAGACAAGGTTAATGAATTTACTAATCCCTGATCAATCGGGCAGATAATCCTAGTCTAATCAAATCAATGGATTCAATTGCACGATTACAAATCGCACCATTCGCTATATCTATTTAATCTACACTCAGGAGCGTGTCAAACTAGTCTCCTGCTCGGGGCGAGTTTCTGATAATGCTGCCCTATTATACCTAACTTCTAAGATAATTTGGGTGATAAACAGATTATAGATGTCGTTATACACTAGAATAAATCAAGTAACGGTCAAGTAAGAAAGAAACCTTCGTTTTATTGGACACGTAGTGGACATAACGATCGTTTCAATATTATGTTGTTCTTGTTCTTATTTGACACAGAATAACACACCTAGTGGAAATATAAAACCGCTTTTCTCTTCGAATACTGGACCAATTGCTTTGAAATTTTCAGTGGTTGAAGATAAAAGTTTTCCCTAGAAGGCTATATTCATTTTAAATACCTGTTACCTGTTAGCTCTGTGAGATTTGTTTTTGTTTGCTATGATGTCATTAAACGTTCTGCGGGCATCGGACGCCATTTTGTGTCCTACTGTACTGCTTTGCTTGGTGTGAATATATTTGTAGACTGTGATCTGACGGTACGGTACACTGTACTGCGAACAGATGTGTCCATATATTTGGGCGTAGTTCTCTTGTTAAAATGAGCATCAAAAATGTTGCAATTGTAAAATATAGAAAAAAAATTCTGAGGTCAAGGGTTGGGGAACACAACCCTTGTTGAATAACTATCACCAGTCACCACAGAACACATACCGTTAGCTTTTAATTAAATAAGAGCATGTGTAATAACGCAAACTCTACTAACTCGGTCTAACTTGACAATTAAAATGTCAGAACCCCCCCCCCTCCTGGTTATGCCCGTGGTTGGGGCCATGGCACAAACAACTTCAAACAATCTTAGACATTATTTTTCTCTGCACTAAAATTAATAAAAATATATTTCTGTAACGTTTCGTCTGCCCAAGGTCAGACTTCATCAGACATACATAGTTCAACTATGATAGTTATATTATTACCGGTTCCCGTACATTTGAACCCATGACAATTGCGCCTGCATACTATTGCACCTATAGAAATTTTTTTGTTTCACGGATATTTGAACCCATACTAACCCTAACCCATGGGTTTTAGCACCCGCATATAGATTGAACCCGTGGATATACGCATGGGTTCAAATGTACGGTCACCATTCAAATCATTAGAAAACGCGCACTCTCTTTTCGGCATTTTGAATAATTTGACTGCAGTACAGCTAATGTCAGATGTTAAATTGGCGTACAGTGGTTAAAATGAATATTTGTACCATATTACATGACTTAGACATGTCTGCCAGGCGTGACACCGGGACAGGTTATCAAAATCGAAACTGTCCCGACTAAACAGGTGAGTCTACCAATAAGGTTTGTGAACAAGAAAGGTATTTCGTCACATGTTGGGAATAGGGATCGGTATATTATCCGAAATCGCCTTTTGAATTCCCCTTAGGCAGGGTCGTTAGCTTTCTCAATAGATGAGCTCGTTCGAGTTTTGTTTCAGTGAGGTGCATTCACATAATCACCGCAAGCCGAGTCTAAGCTCGGTGGTCCAAGCTCGCATCGCGCTAAGCGTTGGGAATACGCTCGCCACCGCACCACTGATTACCCTGAATGAGTTCGCAGGTGTGTGGCGATAGTTATGTGCGAGAGGATTGCTGTAATCCTTGCCACCGTAGGGTGGTTCAGGTAGCGGTTACAACGATATCGGTTACGGCTTTCTCCACCATTGAGTTCATGCATCTGAAAACAAATAATTAACTAATTCCATACCCGACATGGACACCCTGAAATGCGATTTTTCTTCTTTTTACTTCATTTTGTATGCACAATGTGTATTTTCAGTAAGTAAGTATGGTGACAAAATAAATTACTGGACTGGTAACCTGACGGGAGGACATGGTTCGCCATATAGTTAAGCCATCTTATGGTCTTGCCCAGGATAAATATGTAAATCCGGCGCTCCAGAAGTACGTGTATACCAACATGGAAGTAGCCCTAACTAGTTTTGTTCGCCTTTTTTACATCAAGTTGTGTAAAAGGGCTGAAACATATGGGCAGTAACAAGTAAACAAGTAACTGGTTAACAATTTCCGTACGCACCCTAGACTGGTGCTCTCCGTTGCATTGTGCAACTGCATTGTCCCCCACCCCCAACGCTCTATGGCCCTCTTGAGGAGTAACGGGCCCCTCGTTGGGGAACCCCGTAAATGTATGTTTGATAATATATACTTGTGCGTTCATTTATTATTTATTTATGGTCAATGGTAGTATTCAGCGGCTTTGCGCAAACCCATTTTGAAATGTTGTGATACCCAGCAAACCAGTTCTTGTTTTTTTAAATGAGGGAACCTGTTGTTGAAGAGTTTGATGCAAATAAGAATTCTTAAAGTTTTAGCACTGTTTATATTTTTAGCCTCAATATGCTTGAGCGCTCATGCTTGACTCCATAATCTTTTTCTTGCCGGGCATAGCAAATAGCAATGCAATAACAAACAATTTTGTCGAAAAAACTGAACTTTAAAT